CCAGACAGGACTGAGGTGCCATGGTCCTCGGGAAGGCCATGGCCCCTGCTGTCTCAGCTGAGATCTGCCCTCATCCCTGTGTCTCCCCCGGTGGGATGAGCAGGTGTGTGCTGCAGGGAGGGGCAGGCAGGGCAGCTCCCACCTGGAAGAGGCTAGGGGCACCCAGTCCCACTTCTCTGGGTGAGAGGCCTGAGGGGCTGTCCAGATGGAACCATGGCCTGCCTGTGGGGTGGCCACTGCTCACACCCACGCTGCTGCCATGCAGAAATTCACATCCAGTTGTCCTGTCTCTGTACTTTCAGAAAGAGCTGGAAGTTTTGATTTTCCTGAGAAGTCTCAGGCTTTTGTAAGGCCTTACAAATAGCTGTGAAAAGAAGGGAAGTGAAAAGCAAAGGGGAAAAGGAAAGATATACCCATTTGAAGGCAGAGTTCCAAAGAATAGCAAGGAGAGATAGGAACACCTTCCTCAGCAATCAATGCAAAGAAATAGAGGAAAATGAAAGAATGGGAAAGACTAGAGATCTCTTCAAGAAAATTAGAGATAACAATGGAACATTTCATGCAAAGATGGGCACAATAAAGAACAGAAATGGTATGGAGCTAAAGCAGAAGATATTAAGCAGAGGTGACAAGAGTACACAGAACTATACAAAAAGATCTTCACGACCCATAATCACGATGGTGTGATCACTCACCTAGAGCCAGACATCCTGGAATGTGAAGGCAAGTGGGCCTTAGGAATGATTACTTATGAACAAAACTAGTGGAGGTGATGGAATTCCAGCTGAACTATTTCAAATCCTGAAAGATGATGCTGTTAAAGTGCTGCACTCAATATGCCAGCAAATTTGGAAAACTCAGCAGTGGCCACAGGACTGGAAAAGGTCAGTTTTCATTCCAATCCCAAAGAAAGACAATGCCAAAGAATATTCAAACTACCGCACAATTACATTCATCTTACATGCTAGCAAAATAATGCTCAAGCCAGGCTTCAACAATACGTGAACTGAGAACTTCCAAATGTTCAAGCTGGACTTAGAAAAGGCAGAGGAACCAGAGATCAAATTGCCAACATCCCCTGGATCATTGCAAAAGGAAGATAATCCCAGAAAAACATCTACTTCTGCTTTATTGATTACGCCAAAGCCTTTGACTTTGTGGATCACAACAAACTGTGGAAAATTCTTCAAGAGATGAGAATACCAGACCACCTTACCTGCCTCCTGAGAAATCTGTATGCAGGTCAAGAAGCAACAGTTAGAACCGGACATGGAACAACAGCCTGGTTACAAATTGGGAAAGGAGTATGTCAAGGCTGTATATTGTCACTCTGCTTATTTAACTTACATGCAGAGTACATCATGTGAAATGCTGGACTGGATGAAGCACAAGGTAGACTCAAGATTTCCTGGAGAAATATCAATAACCTCATATATGCAGAGGACATCACCCTAATGGCAGAAAGTGAAGAGGAACTAAAGAGTCTTTTCATGAAAGTGAAAGAGGAGAGTGAAAAAGCTGGCTTAAAACTCAACATTCAGAAAACTAAGATCATGGCATCTGGTTCCATCACTTCATGCAAATAGATGGGGGAACAATGGAAACAGTGACAGCCTTTATTTTCTTGAGCTACAAAATCACTGTGGATGGTGACTGCAGCCGTGAAACTAAAAGACACTTGCTCCTTGGAAGAAAAACTATGACCAACCTAGACAGCATATTAAAAAGCAGAGACATTACTTTGCCTACAAAAGTCTGTATAGTCAAGGCTATGGTTTTTCCAGTATGGATGTGGTTCTTTGAACCACAAAGAAAGCTGAGCGCTGAAGAATTGATGCTTTTGAACTGTGGTGTTGGAGAAGACTCTTGAGAGCCCCTTGGACTGCAAGGAGATCAAACCAGTCAATCTGAAATGAAAACAGTCCTGAATATTCATTGGAAGGACTGATGCTAAAGCTGAAACTCCAATACTTTGGCCACCTGACGCGGAGAACTGACTCATTGGAAAAGACCCTGATGCTGGGAAAGATTGAAGGCAGGAGAAGAAGGGGACAATAAAGGATGAGATGGTTGGATGGCATCTCTGACTCGATGGATATGAGTTTGAGTAAGCTCCAGGAGTTGGTGATGGACAGGGAAGCCTGGAGTACTGTAGTCCATGGGCTCATAAAGAGCTGGACATGACTGAGTGACTGAACTGCACTCGGGCTTTTGGGTGCCAGCAACTGTAGGGAGAAGCTGGCTTCAACTACCTCTTCACCTAGCTGACACCTTGGTGGGCACAGAGGCGGATCAGGAGCTCTGGGGACAGTCCACCCAGGCCAGCAGGACAGGGGACTCTTGAGGCTGTGGACTTTGAGGGGAGGGCAGGATCTCCAGCTGGACGAAGCCAGGAAGGAGCCCTGCCTCTGTGAACCGAGCTGCGTGGCCAAGTGTCCAGGAGAGAGGTTTGGTTGCCAGCCAGCCAAGCTGAGCCCAGCCCACTTTAGGGACTCTAGCTGGCTGTCTGTATGTCAGGTCCCTCTGCTAGCTCCTGGGTATAGTGGGTTTTACTTGCATCTTAACTAAAAGCTCAGCTGGATACAAGCATTTACACACATGTGAACACAGGCTCCGTTCTGTGTTCAGTTGAGGTAGTCATGATAGTAAGAAGTTCCCATGAGCCCCTGCCCACTCTCAATCCTGTTCACCTTCCAAACAGCTGCAGGCATCATCACACCTCATTGTATGTCACACTTTGGATACAGGCTAGTTGGCAAAACGATGCATTGACAATTCACACATATTGGTGTTGACCTTGTGTATAAACACCGCTGGGAAAGGGCTCTTTCCTTCAACATTTATGAACAAATGAGCACAAGAACCAGTGAACAGCTGTCCTTGACCAGATGCCTGCGTCTTGATGGGTGAGGCCCCAGAGTCCCGGCTGCTGGGCGGTGCCTCGAATGTGACACGGGGTTCCCTGCCATCTGGCAGGGGAATGGCCGCCTGAGTTGGAGCTCGGGCTGCCAGAGGTGTTCAGTGGAGTGGAGGCAGGGTTGGGCGACTCGGGTGTCTCCCGTTTGGAGGGCCTGGTGCAGAAGCACCCCTGGGCTGAGCTCAAGTCTGATTCTCGGTCCAGGTGCCCCCAGCTGACCAGTGTTTTCTTGGGGGTGAAGTGACCATGCTGGCATCCACCTCAGGGTGGAGAGACTGATACAACAGATCACAGTTCCCAGGGCCCACGGCCAATGCCACAGCTGCTCACCTTGTCTCCTCTTGCCCCCCCACCACCCAGCCAAGGCCAGATAAAGTGCAGGAAAAGTCCAAGACGTCCCAGGCTGCCAGCGCCCTGGAGGACCCCTCTCACTGTCCAGCGCATGACTGTTAGGGCTCATCCTCAGGTCTCCATCTCTGTGGCCAGCTTCTCCCTGGGATAGACTGACCCTCTGGTCTGGGGCTCAAGGCTGAGGGCCCTGGAAGCCTCCCTGGAATGTTCTAGAAAGCTGTAAAGGACTCAGGATTGGGCTGCCCGACCTGAAGTGACTGGCAGCAGGAGGAAGCAGTGGTGTTTGGAGTGTGGGCTGTGCCCTGACTGACAAGCTGCTTTTCGGGGAAGGGGGGGGGGTGCGGAGGGGGGTTGGTCAGTGACAGAAGTCTTTTGTTTGCCCCTATTTACTTCTGAAAGCCGGGATATTTGCTCTGTTTCTAGCATCCTTGCTGCACCAGCTTTGCTCAGGCAGCCCCGGCTGGTGACCACATGCCCATGGCTGTGCCAGAGTCCCTCCATGGTCTTGTGGGAAGTGGGACACTGGGCAGTTACGAAGTATCACTGAGTGTTTGCTGGTCTCCATAGATGACTTGGCACAGGGCCCCACGGGGCCTGGCCCAGCAGGTGTGAAGCCCTGCCCTGCTCAAGAGAGATTCTAGTACCCTGCAGAGGAACCACACCCCAGCCCCCTGAGCACAGCCCCTGTCTACACCCTGCCCTACACCCTCTGTCTACACCTCTCCTACACTCTGCCATACTGCCCCACACCAGCGCCTATACCTGCCCCTACAATCTTACTTACGCCCCCGGTGCCACCACCCAGGCTGTGACATGCCAGGGGAGGCTACCAACAAGCCAGGCAAATTTGGGCTGAGTGGCTGCGGGGGCACCCCAGGCACCAGGAGACCCGGGAAAGGGCACCCCCAGGACGCGGGCTGCCTGGAGCAGAGTCAGACAGACGCGAATGCAGGTCTTCCCTGGCGGCGCTCCACAAAAGGCCCAGGGAGCCCGACACACCGTGAACCCCGCGGTTCAGACTCCCGGCTTGTCACTTAGGAAATGCGGACGCGGGCAGAGCCGGACGCGCTGTGGCCGAGTGACCTGACCGTGGCGGGCGGGAGAGCCCGAGACCCAACGTAAGCCCCCGGAACCCCAGGCAGAACCCGCAGGGCCGCAGCCCAGGATGCAGACCAATCTGGGGATGCAAACCAGCTGGGGCAGGTGCCCTAGTGAGGCGAGGTCCCCAAGTGGGACGGGAACTCAGGTATGCCCTGGGGCGGGCCCCAATTTACCCTAACCCCGCCTCCAGGCTACCTCGGCCACACCCACATCCCCGCGCCTTACAGGCTTTGGCTCCGCCCACACGCCCTCGGCCCCCGCCCCTTCATTCAAGCCCCACACCCACACCCCGCGCCTTATGAGCCTTGGCCCCGCCCACCAGCCCTTGCCCCGCCCCTCCCCCAGCCCCTTCACCCACGCCCCTGCACCTTACAAGCCTTGGCCCCGCCCACTTCTCCCTTGAACACCGCCCCTGCCTCCAGCCCTGCCCCGATCCCGCCCACGGCCCCGCCCCTCCCTTCACACCCTCCCACCTTACAGGCCTTTGCCCCGCCCACTTCACCCATGACCCCTCCCTTCCCCTCCAGCCCCGCCTCTATCCCGCCCCTTGGCACCGCCCCTCCCCGCGGCCCTTCGCTGCCCTTCGCGGCCCCGGCGCGCAGGCGCGGGCAGGTGAGCGCCGTTTGAAAGTATGGCGCCGGGCGGGCGGATGTTGCTGTGTGAGGAGAAGATCCGGGAGAAGAGCGGCCTGGCGCCTCACTGCGACCTGGGTGCGCGCCAGGCGGCGGGCGGCGGGCGGCGGGCGGCGGGCGGGCGGCGGGCGGCGCTGGCCGAGGGCGCGAGCTTCCCGCTGCGGTGTGGGAGGACCGGTCAGGCCAGAGGTGCCGAAGGAGACCGCTCGGTTCCGAGCCGCCCCAGGCCTGAGGGGCGGGGGAGAGGGGTGGGCTGGGGTTGGCGGGCCCGGGGGGCGCGGGGAGCGCGAAGAGGGGCGGGGCAGCGGTGGCGCTGAGAGCGCGGGCCTGGGGCCCTCGAAGAGCAGGGGCCCGGGCGAGCTGGGGTCCCAAGTGGAGGCCCTTGAGGGGCGGGGGCCGCCCGGCCCTCGCGCCGTCTGAGGGGAGCCCCTCCGGGGCGCGTTTGCGGAGCCTTTGCGGGGCTGATTTTTGAGTTAATTGGTAAGATCACTTGGGTTTTCTTTCACCCGTTAGTCACCTGGATTAGGTTGGTCTTATGCGAAAGCTTGAAGCACCTTCGTTTCTGGAGAAGGGGCGACCTGCCCTGTGGTAGGACTCGTTCGCCCCTCCCAGGCCGAGGATCTCTGGACTCGTGTTCAAGATGGATGTTGGGCGCTAGTTTTCTTTCTTTTTTTTTTTTTTTGGTCTGGTTCTGGTATCAAGCCTCTTCTTCGGTTTTCTAGAAGAGATTCTGTAAAATTGATGCCAGTTCTTTTTTTCTTGATAGAACTTTCCAGCGAAACCTTATGCGCCTGGAAATTTCTGAATTTGAAGCTTTTAAATTACAAATACAATGTCTGCAGTTGTTATAGAACTATTCATATTATAGACTTCATCTTAAGTGAGTTATGGTTATGTGGGGTTTTGCAAAACTGATTTCATCTAACATGTTAAATTTATGTGTATAGAGTTTGTGGTATTTCCTTATTAACTTGTTAATGTCTGTGTGGTCTGTAGTGATACCCTTCTTCCATTCCTGATATTGGTCATTTCTGTCTTCTCTTTTTTGGTCTTTCTTGAGGTTTATGGATTTTATTACACTTGTCAATGAGCCAGCTTTGGGGTTTTAGTCATAGATTTTTTGGTTTCAAATTTCATTGATTCTGTATTGTCTTCTTCCTGCTGCTTTCCATTTATTTTTCTCTTTTTCTTGATTCTTGAGATGAAAATTTAGATTTTTGATTTGAGACTTTTATTTTAGTGCTGTAAGTTTCCCTTTAAGCACAACTTTAGCTACATCTAAAAGTTTTGTTGTATTTTCATTTTCATTTAGTTCCCTGTTTTTTAAATTTCCCTTGACTTTCTCTTAGACCTATGGATTGTTCAGAAATGTGTTTTTTCATTTTTCTGTGATTAGAGGTTTTCCTAGCTTGGTATTTTTTTTATTTCTGTCATTGATTCTGATGTGATTCCATTATGGTCAGAAAACATACTCTGTATGATCTTAATTGTTTTAAATTTGTTGAGGTTTGTTTTATGGCCCAGGATCTGGCCTATATGTACCAAGTGCAGTTGGAAGGAATGTGTACTGTCACTGACTGGAGTGTTGTATAAACATCAGTTTGATTCTGTTGACTTATGTTGCTCAGTTCTTTTTTATCCTTGCTGATTTTCTGTCCAGTGAGTCTCTTAATTACCAGGAGATAGGTATTGAGATCCCTAACTGAAATTGTGGATTTGTCTCTTTCTACTTCATGTGTCTTGAAGCTGTGCTATTTGGTGCATACATATTTAGGATTTTTATGTCTTCATATTGGAGTGACCTTTGTAACATATGTAATATTCCTCCTTACAGTGAGACATCTACTTTATCTAATATTGGACTTCCCTCGTGGCTCAGACGGTAAAGAGTCTGCCTACAATGCAGAAGACCCGGGTTCAATCCCTGGGTCGGGCAGATCCCCTGGAGAAGGAAATGGCAACCCACTCCAGTACTCTTGCATGGAGAATCCCATGGATGGAGGATCCTGTTAGGCTACAGTCCATTCCTCCTTATCCCTGATAATTTTCTACAGTGAGACATCTACTTTATCTAATATTAGTGTAGTCATGTATGAATGTGAGAGTTAGACTATAAAGAAAGCTGAGTGCCAAAGAATTGATGCTTTTGAACTGTGGTGTTGGAGAAGACTCTTGAGAGTCCCTTGGACTGCAAGGAGATCCAACCAGTCCATCCTAAAGGAAATCAGTCCTGAATATTCATTGGAAGGACTGATGCTGAAGTTGAAACTCCAATACTTTGCCCACGTGATTCAAAGAGCTGACTCACTGGAAAAGACCCTGATGCTGGGAAAGATTGAAGGCAGGAAGAGAAGGGGATGATAGAGGCTGAGATGGTTGAATAGCATCACTGACTCAATGGACCTGAGTTTGAGCAAGCTCCAGGCATTGGTGATGGACAGGGAGGGCTGGCGTGCTGCAGTCCATGGGGTTGCAAAGAGTTGGACATGACTGAGCGACTGAACTGACTGAGTGTAGCCTCTCCAGCTTTCTTTAGTCTCGTGTTCGCAGAGCATGTCTTTGTCTGTTTACTGTTTTGTCTGTAAGCTTACATGTATTGTGATATTTTAAATGAGTTTCTTGTAGGCAGTATGTGTTGGTTTAGTCCCTAAGTTGTGTCCAACTCTTATGACCCCATGGACTGTAGCCTGCCAGGCTCCTCTGTCCATGGGATTCTCCAGGCAAGCATACTGTAGTGGGTTGCCATTTCCTTCTCCAGGGGATCTTTCCCACCCAGGAATTGAACCCGGGTCTCCTGCATAGCAGGCAGATTCTTTACTGTCTGAATTAACAAGGGAATCAGTATATACTATATATAATTTCTAATCTACTCTGCTAACCTCTGTCTTTTACAGTGTGAAAGTGTTAGTTGCTCAGTTGTGTCTGACTCTTTGTGACCCCGTGGACTGTAGTCTGCTAGTCTCCTCTGTCCATGGAATTCTCCAGGCAAGAATGCTGGAGTGGGTAGCCATTTTCTTCTCCAGGGGATCTTCCTGACCCAGGGATCGAACCCTGCATTGGTTCCTCATCTCCTGCATTGCAGGCAGGTTCTTTACCGTCTGAGTCATCAGGGAAGCTTCCCTTTTATAGTATATTGAGACCATTTATTAATATTAATATGGCTTCTGTGTGCCATTTATTATTTTTCTGTTTATTCCCTTTGTTTTTTCTTCTTTTGTTTCCTATTTCCTTGCTTTCTGTGTTTCCTCTTTCCTTCCTTTTCCTTAGTCATGTCTGACTCTTTGCGACCCCATGGAGTATACAGTCCATGAAATTCTACAGGCCAGAATACTGGAGTGGGTAGCCTTTTCCTTCTCCTGGGGATCTTCCCAACCCAGGGATCGAACCCAAGTCTCCTGCATTGCAGGCAGATTCTTTACCAGGTGAGCCACAAGGGAAGCCCCTTCCTTCCTTGAGTATTTTTTTATTATTTCATTTTGATTTACCTATTATATTTCTGAGCATATCTCATCATATAGCTCTTTTAGTCATTGCTCTACATATTACAGTATACAGTGTTTATGTGATTTAACACACTTCACTTGTGTGGACAGTTTACCATGTCAAGTGAAAATAGAAATTTTACCACCATTTCTTTTTTTCGTTCAGTTGCTCAGTCGTGTCTGACTCTTTGAGATCCAGTGGACTGCAGCACACCAGGCTTCCCTGTCCTTCACTATCTCCTGGAGTTTGTTCACAATCATGTCCATTGAGTCCATGATGCCATCCAACCATCTCATCCTCTGCTGCCCCCTTCTCCTCCTGCCTTCAGTCTTTCCCAGCATTGGGGTCTTTTCCAATGAGTCAGCTCTTCGCATCAGGTGGCCAAAGTATTGGAGCTTTAGCATCGATCCTTCCAATGAATATCCGGGGTTGATTTCCTTTAGGATTGACTGATTTGATCTCTTTGCAGTCCAAGGGACTCTCGAGACTCTGCTCCAGCACCGCAGTTCAAAAGCATCAGTTCTTTGGTGCTCAGCCTTCTTTATGGTTCAATTCTCACATTTCTACATGACTACTAGAAAAACCATAGCCTGACAATATGAACATTTGTCGGCAGATCGATGCCTCTGCTTTTTAATATGCTAAGTTTGTCATTACTTTTCTTCCAAGGAGCAAGTGTCTTTTTTAATTTCACGGCTACAGTCAACATCCTCAGTGATTTTGGAGCCCAAGAAAATAAAGTCTCTCACTGTTTGCATTTTTCCCCCATCTATTTACTGTGAAGTGGTAGGACCAGATGTCATGATCTTCGTTTTTTGAATGTTGAGTTTTAAGCCAGCCTTTTCACTCTCCTTTTTCACCTTCATCAAGAGTCTCTTTAGGTCCTCTTCACTCTTCCATTAGGGTAGTGTCATCTGTGTGAAAGTGAAGTCACTCAGTCATGTCCGACTCTTTGAGACCCCATGGACTTTAGCCCACCAGGCTTCTCTGTCCATTGGATTTTCCAGGCAAGAATACTAGAATGGGTTGCCATTTCCTTCTCCAGGGGATCTTCCCAACCTAGCGATCAAACCCGGGTCTTCCGCATTTCAGGCAGATGCTTTACCCTCTGAACCACCAGGGAATGCAGCCACCCTGCATCATATATGCAGGTATCATCTGCATATCTGAGGTTATTGATATTTCTTCTGGCTATCTTGATTCCAACTTGTGCTTCATCCAGCCCAGCATTTCACATGATGTACTCTCCAAGTGTACCACCATTTAGGTTTCATTATTCTTCCACTATATGATTTGTCTAGATATTTCATCTGCATACCTGAGAACCACAGTAATGATAAGATTTTTTTCCTTTTACAATCATCTGACAGTTTAAATAGCTTAGGAGGAAGCATTAACCCACATGTTTACCTGTTTCATTTTTCTTTCTTCATACCTAATGTCCCAGATTTCCTTCTTTTATCTTTCCTTAATGTTTAAAGATCTTTCTTAAGCAGTTGTCTTTGGGAAGGCATCCTGGTGAAAAGTTCTCTTAGTGTTTCTTCATTTAAGAATATCTGTATTTCACCTTCAGTCGTAAAGACGTTACTGAAGAATATAGATTTCTAGGATGAAAGTTCTTATTTTCAGCAATTGAAAACTGTGAGAGCACTTCCTTTATGCCACCATGGTTTCTGAAGAGTAACTCCCTACCATGGGAGTTGTTTCTCTCTCTGGGTGATGCCTCTCTCTCTGGTTGCTCTTGAGATTTTTTCATTGCCGTTAGTGTTTTTGATTCTGATGTGTTAGCTTTTGCCTTTATTCTGTTTGGTGTTTTTTCAACTTCTTGAATGTGTCGGTTTATGTTTTTTTTGCCAAATTTGGAAAGTTTTCAGCTGTTACTTCTTTTTTGTTTGTTTGTTTGTTTAGGCCATGCTGTTTTTCTCTTCTTGAAACTAATTAGAACTCCATGGGTTCCCAAGGACATGAACAGTTAGATTGCTTTTTCTTTTTCCACAGGACCTTGAAGCTCTGTTCATTTTTTAGTCCGTTTTCTCTCTTGGTCAGATAGGACAGCTTTGTTTATCTTTGCATTTACTCTCTGAATTTTTTCCTTTCATCTCCATTCTGTTATTAAGCAGCTCCCATGGTTTTGTTTGTTTCTTTCAGTTACTGTATTTTTCATTTCTGAAATTTCTATTTGTTTCTTCTTTATATTTTTTGTTTTTTGCCAAGAATCCCTACTTTCTCATTTTTTAAAGCATGTTCATAATTGCTCTTTGAAGTATTTGTGTATCAGTTGCTTTAAAATCCTTGTTAGATAGTTCTGGTTTCTCTCATCTCATTATTGGTGTCTGTTGTTTTCTCTCATTCAGATTGACATTCTCCTAGTTCTTCATCATTTTTGATTGATTGTTTTGATTGGGATTCTGCTTCCTGTTTAAATCTTGTTGCTCAGTTCTGTCACTGCCTGGATGCTGCCTTGTTGCTGAGGCGGTGGCCAGGCCCCTGTCACACACAGCCTCCACAGATGCCTCGTTACAGGCAGCCCAGGGCAGTAGTCAGGCCCGCTCTCACAGCCCCAGTGCTGGCCACTGTGCAAGGCCAGGGGTGCGAGGTCCATGATTTTCCCTCGGTGTTGGGTGGGAGTGGGGCTGGGGTTGTCAGGAGTCTGTCCTGCAAGGCCGTCTCTCCTGCAAGCCCATCACTGTTCATCTTTGACAGTGGGCAGCAGGCTTTCCCATATCTTTTGGTAGATGTCCATGGGTGTTTCTGGGTGGCCAGCTTCTCTTGCCTTCAGACTGGGATGTATAGGAGACAACAAAAGCAGCCCTCGGTGCTTGGCCGTTTTTCAGGTCCCTAGACAGCTGGCCTTCCGTCCCCATGCTTCAGTGGCCAGGCGCTTGCTTCCCATGCTGCTGTCAGAGCGTTCAGATCTAATAAGTGGGGCGGGATAGGGTGAAACGTGTCCACTCTGTTTTGTCTGAAGCTGGAAGCCCAAAAGCCAATTTCCTATTTAATCAAAATGTGTTTTAAAACAAAAGTTCACAGGAAAATATTTGGTGTATCCAAACACAGAGTGTCTATTCATTAGGGAAACTTACTTTTGTAGTGGCGTTTGTCTCATGAGCGCTTACTGAGTGTGTCCCAGAAAAGCATGTGGTGCCCCTCAGGTGCCGCCGCCCCCACCCGTAACGGCGCTACCTCAGGTCAGCTCCGAAGAGGCTTCAGATGTCATCCCTGCGTGGAGGCCCAGAGGCAGTGAGCTGAGCAATGTGGTAGTGGCAGCCCCCTTAGGAGGTCTTCCTGCTGAGTTTTGGAGGGAGAATAAATTACTGTAATAATTTATTTTCAGTAAAATAATAAAGTTAAAATCTCTTAATTTTCTATTCTTAGCTGAACTTCGGTCATTATCTATTCCTGGAACTTACCAAGAAAAGATTACTCACCTAGGAAATTCTTTGATGAATTTAACAGGTCTAAAATCTCTAGATCTCTCACGAAACTCCTTGGTTAGTCTAGAGGTAAGTTTTAGGTTTGTTTCTTAAAAGAAAATTTATTGCTATAATAGCAGTGGGAAGTACATTTATGGTAAAAAAAAAAAAAAAGCAATCTGTTTTATGGCTGCTTCTGAAACATGTAAACTGTACATGCAAGTGACTGTAAATGCTGTGCTGCTTTTCTTGTGTTTGCTGTGAGTTGGATTTCTTCTGCATCATATTGTGTTCCAACTATAACATGAAACACTGAGCTCTGAAGATGGTTGTGTCTGTAAAGGAGAAAAGGCCTGAAAGATGAGCGTGTGCGTGCCCGTCCTCCATCCTGCTCAGCTGTCCTCTGCATCCACACTGCACTTCTCATGTGTGTGTGTCCGGCTGTTAGTGGCCTTGGGCCCTTGAATGGCTTGTGTGCCTGACACGGCAGGCTCTGGTGGTGGAGAGAACGCAAGAAGTCACCAGGCGATGGCAAGTGGGAACGCGGTGTGAACTGCCAGGGCCTGCAGTGGGGAGAAAGGGAGGCAGGACGTCACTGCCCCTGACCCGGGGTTAGGAGCCCTCAGCCTCGAGTCAGAGTCTGGTGCAAGTTCTCTCGTCCAGGCTGCACTCAGTCCTCCCATCTGTGAAACGGGGGCAGCGGCGGTTCCGCTGACAGGGCTGGGTGTGGAAGCGTGATGGTTGATGCGTTGCTCGGCTGGCACGTGAGGCCCTGCAGGGAGGGATTGACCTACTCGGCCACCTCACGGCCCCGGAGCAGAGCTCGCGGCGGAGCTCATCTTTGCTCTGCTCTCCGGTGATGGGGGGTGTGTGTGTGTGGCGGGGGTGTGTGTGTGGAGTGTGTCTGTTGATACCGTCTCACCCTGCGTTTGTCCCAGCAGGGCATTGAGTGCCTGACGGCGCTGGAGAGCCTCAACCTTTACTACAACCGCATCTCCTCGCTGGCGGAGGTCTTCCGGCTCCACTCCCTGGCAGCACTCTCGGATGTGGACTTGCGGCTGAACCCCGTGGTAAAGAGCGAGTCTGACTACCGCCTCTTCGTGGTGCACATGCTCCCGGGACTCCAGCAGCTGGGTAGGCCGGCCGCACTCCCGGCCTCACTCGGCGCCCCGCTCGTGTTCTTGGGGCAATCACGCTGCTGGCCCTTCTGGAGAGGGGAGCTGGTTTCCTCCTGTCACAGAAGAGCCCCCTGGGAAAGCGGCAGGGAGCCACTTCCTCAGGCCATGAGTGCCTGCCGGGCTGGCCCTGGCGCAGGTGTGGGATGGCTCGGCTCTCCAGCTGTTCTCAAGCTCTGCTGTCTATTTCCTCACATGGCCTCCTGGGTGTTGTCCCAGGCTCAGCCGGACGGCTGGATTCAGCCTAGGTTTGCGTCCTCCTGGGGCACAGAAACGAGAGGTTACTGTGCCACACACTCCCCGGGCGACAGCGTGAGAGCAGGAGGTCCTCTTGGCAGGTGCAGCCGCCGCCTTGGCTTGGTGGCTTGTGGCCCGAGAAGAACCGAATCTCTTGGGCTTGCGGGCCGAGTGACCAGGGTGCCCACCAGCCATGCCCGGTCAGGAGCATTGTCCTCAGAGAGGCCAGAGCCCTCACCTGCTGACCTGGCTCTTGGGAGCTGCTGTGCTGTGAGCACTGTGACCGCTCCCCTCCCCGCCCTGCATCCCGCTTCAGAGGAGGGAGCTGTAGCTGGAGATGAGGGTGTGCTGGCCAGGAGGCCCTGGGGAAGGAGAGCTTAGGGTCTTGGACCTGGTCCTCCTGTGGATGTGCCACGTGGGGGCAGTTAGGACTGTCTGATTGCAGGGTGGTGGTCCTTCTGTACCCCCAGTGATCACGGCGTGTTCTCCATTCAGAGAGCCTTTGACCACCTGGGGAGGCTGGAGGGATTCCAGGGTGTCTCCACCTCCCAGGTGCTGGGATAATGAAGTGAGACCCACACAGCAGCGCTTGCAGGTGGACGCTGGGCAGCAGGCAGACCATGGCTCCTGCCTGTTCAGTGTCCACAGGACCTGCAGACATTCCAGGTTCTGCCCCCTCAGCTGCACAGAACGTCTCTCACAAGCACCCCAGCTGTGTGGGGAGGCCGGAGGGATTCCAGGGTGTCTCCACCACCCAGGTGCTGGGATAATAAAGTGAGACCCACACAGCAGCGCTTCCAGGTGGACGCTGGGCAGCAGGCAGACCATGGCTCCTGCCTGTTCAGTGTCCACAGGACCTGCAGACATTCCAGGTTCTGCCCCCTCAGCTGCACAGAACGTCTCTCACAAGCACCCCAGCTGTGTGGGGAGGCCGGAGGGATTCCAGGGTGTCTCCACCACCCAGGTGCTGGGATAATAAAGTGAGACCCACACAGCAGCGCTTCCAGGTGGACGCTGGGCAGCAGGCAGACCATGGCTCCTGCCTGTTCAGTGTCCACAGGACCTGCAGACATTCCAGGTTCTGCCCCCTCAGCTGCACAGAATGTCTCTCACAAGCACCCAGCTGTGCCTGCCTTGGCTCACCTCCTTGTCCCCGGGCTCATGGCCCCGGCTCTGGGGAGCCCGGCTGCATGGTTAGGCCACACCGTCCTGGGCCTGGGGTGCTGACCCCCAGAGGCACGCTGTTTGTTCAGACCTACTTAGGGTTTCAACGTTGTGTTGGTTTTTAGATATTTGGGGGCTTGTGTCCTTAGTTGACTGTGTAAGTATCCTGTCAACAATCGAAGCATTAGAATCCTTGAAAGTTGTGCAGTCTTCAGTCTTAAATGATCAGTTTCTACTTGTGATAAAAGTCTTACATTCGGTCCTACAGAGTCCCAGTCTGAAAGGCACTCAGACAAGAGAAAGGAGAACCATTGGAGCCTGTGTTGCCAGAGCTGTGGAGCTCCTAGAAGGCCTGCTCCCCCGCGGGGCGCCACGGGGGCTCCGAGGGGGCGACCCAAGCACTCTGGCTGGGGGCAGAGGGGGCCCCTGCCAGGCCTGGGGGCCGCTGCTGTGTGGAGAGGGTGTGGTCTGGGTGAGACGGGTTTGCGCTGGTCCTAGCCACGTGGAGCTTGAGTTCAGGGTGAGGGGCATGGCGCTGACTCAGTGATGTTCAGGCTGAGCAAGTAGAGTCGTGAGTTGTTGGCATGAAGGCCGCGTCCAGGCTGTGAGAGCGCAGGGTCCAGGAGGCCTCAGACCAGCGTGTGCTGGACGGAGTCCCTGCGGGGAGGCGGCGGCAGGGCCAGAGGCACAGTGTGTGGAGGGGGCTCCTGGGAGCACCCCGCGTGGCGCCGGGGCTCCTGTGCAGAGTCCACAGCTCGGTCCTTGTTTCTCACTGGGACGTGCACCCCTGGGTGCTGTGGACTCGGCTTCCTGAGCAATTCTGGGACGGTCCCGACAAGATCCTGGGGGCCGACCTCCAGCATTTGGGAGGGCAGCCTCCCTCGGGTACTCCTGAGGAGGTGTGGCTGTGGATACGTGAGATCTTCTTGGGTCCAGGGCACATGCGCAGACAGTTAAGCTTGGCTCTGTCTCCTGTTCTAGTCCCTAGAATCTGAGGAGGTAAGCCCTGGGTGCCAGCATGTGGCCTGGGCATCTTCTCTCCAATGTGTTGGGCTCCTTGCCCGTGGACACTTGTTAGGGGTGCTCAGTGTGGTTTGAGTCCTTGCCCAGCACCCGGGATATGTGTAAAGAGGAGACGCGAAGGGCATGCCTGCATGTGAACTTGTGTGTGTGTTTCGCTTCCTGTCTGAGGCTCAAGCGGGTGTGAGCTGCCGCCTCCAAGGATCATGCTCAGCATCTCCACGGGCTTCTGTGGTGGGTCAGCCCTCAGGGGAGGGAAGGGCTCCAGAACAGGGCAGTGCCCCTGGTCATGTGCGTGTGAGGCTGAGTGGGCAGCAGGACACCTTTACTCCCAAGGGGAGGCCGGCAGGCGCGCCATGGAGGGGCCTGGCACCTGCCTTGTGGTCTGCTACTTTCCCGTTGTGTCTTTCCTATAGATGACCGCCCTGTGAGGGAGAGTGAGCGGAGAGCGTCCCGGCTACATTTTGGTCCAGAGGAATCGCTGGACTCAAAGCAGAGCTTCCCGTCTGTTTTCAGAGAAGAAAGGTATGAACTTTTTAGAAAAAGTGAGAGTGAAAGTCACTCAGTCATGTCCTACTCTTTGTGACCCTATGAACTATACACTCCAATTCTCTAGGTCAGAGTACTGGAGTGGGTAGCCTTGCTCTTCTCCAGGGGATCTTCTTGACCCAGGGATCAAACCCAGGTCTCCCACATTGCCAGTGGATTCTTTACCAGCTGAGCTATCAGGGAAGCCCTTGAATAGAAGTTATGTTTGAACATCTTGAGAAGTGTTTATTGTTGATAGAAAAATTGCAACTTCTGTATTCATGGAAGATGTAAACTTTTCTTGCGGATCGCCACTTAGAGGGCAGACATGCAGGGGATGTGGTGGGGGGTGGGAGAAACGCCCCATATCAGCTGGGTACTGAGGGACAGTCTCTCTTCCTGTTGACCACGTTTCCTGTAGGTTACTTTTCAATCTTAAGTGGGCCAGAATGTTTGTTTGAGTTTTCCTGTAATGCTTTGAAAACCCTGAGTGAACGTTTTGGCCACCCAACACTGAAAACATTGTAAGTAGTTGATGTCAGAGGCACCGCCCGAAAGGCCTTCGGCGAGAAGCCGTGGTCTCGCCCCCCAGCTCCCGCCCACTCCTCAGAGGCAGCTGCTTGCCCATCTCTAACCGCTGCTGCTTCCAGGCTCTGTTTGCTCCCTTCTGATCTCAGTGCAGACACTGCTTTTTGTGGGCGGGAGCACTTTGACAGACCTGGCAGCTGCTGGAGCCTCCTCTTCCCGCCCTGGTGGTGGTAGTTCTCCGGCGTCCCCCTTCCTTTCTGTGCTCTGCGGCCAGGGCTCCCACTTGGCTGTGACGGGCTGTGGGAGCCTCTGCCGCCTGTGCCTGGCTTCTCACCGCCTCCCAGCGCCTGTCGTCTGCATTTTTATGTCTGACTTGAGATTGTCAGGGTGGTAGCACATGTGTTCTGAAAGCATAGTCTTCATGTGTTTGGTTGATTCTAAAGGTGTAAGTCAGTCAGTGGTGTTTACCTAGCTTGTAATGTGTGAGGATTATATATTCCTTCTTAGATACCATTTTGTTTTGTCTGAAGATTTTAATAGTTTTCTTTCTCTTGCATCATACACCTTAGTTCATCTATAAGTTTCTCTAATGTAGAGGTCAGCTGACTTTTTTTGTAAAGGGCTGGGGAGAATATTTTCAGCTTCGTGGACCGTAAGATCTGTGTTTTAACTTCTAAACCCTGACTTTGTAGATGAAAGCAGTTATAGGCAATACATAAACTAATGACTGTGTTCCAGTAAAACTTTATTTACAACACAGGCGGTGGGTCAGATTTGACTTGTGGACCATACTTTGCCAACTTCTGTTCTAACATCTTAAGATCAATTCCAAATTCCTGGAATCTCCTCTTCCCTCATCTTCCTCGCTTGGAGTTCCCCTCCCCCACATCCCTATTCCAAACCCGGCTAACTGACCCTGCAGAATGGTCTGAGTATTGTGTGCCTCAGATTTACACGCTGGAGTCCTGACCCCCAACACAGTGGCTTTAGGGGATAGGGCCTGTTAGAGGCGATGAGGTCCTGCGGGTGGAGCCCTCCTACAAAAGAGACCCTGCAGAGCTCTCTAGCCCCGTCCACATCCATGTGTGTTTGCAAGTCACACAGTGTCAGTCTTGTGACTTTGCCCTCCTTTAACATTGAGTTGCCAGTTCAGGGTCTTTTTACTTTCCATATAACTGTTAGAATTAACCTGTCAACATCCACAAAATACCTTGCTGGAATTTTGATTGAGATTGTGTTGAATTACAGATGAGAAGGAACTGACATCTTAACACTATTGAGTCTTCACATCCATGGACATGGACTATCCATTTATTTAGTTCTTCTTTGATTTCATTTATCAGAGGTTTGTAGTCTTCCTGATTTGATGCTGTACATATTTTGTTAGGCTTATGCCTTGGTATATTGGTTTTTTGAGGCTAATTTAGGCTTTTTAATTTAAAATTCCAGTTCATTGCTGATAATATATGAAAGCATTTGACTTGTATGCAGCTACTGGTGACGAAGTACCACAAACAGGGTGGCTTAAAATAACAGAAATTTATTGCCTTACAGTTCTTAGGCTGGAAGTCTGAAATCAAGGTGTTGTCAGCCCTGCTTCCTCCTGGAGGCTCTGAGAGGGAATCCATTCCTTGACTCTAGCTTCTGGTGGTTTGCTGGCCATCTCCAGCATTCTCTCCAGTCCTTCCTTCTCTCCACTTGGCTGTCTTCTCCCTGCGTCTTTTCACAGAGCTCCCCATTGTGCTCGTCTGTCCTGTGTCCAGATTTCCCCTTTCTTAAGGACATCAGTCATATTGGTTAGGGCTCCCCATAATTTCCTCATTTTAACTCGATTACCTCTGTAAAGACTCTTATTTCCAAATAAGGTCGTGCTCTGAGGTGTGAGGTGTTGGTACTTCAGCATCCCTTTTTAGGGACACAGTGTAACCCTTGAATTTTATGAGCTTGCTGTAAAATTGATTCTTTGATTTCCTGTAGATGGTATGTCATCTTTGAACATACCATCTATAGTTCTATATATCTTCTTTCCCAGTCTGTATACCTTTAAGTTCCTCTTCTCGTCTTACTGCCTTAGCTGGGACTTCCAGTATGAGGTCAAGGTAGTGAGTAGCGGGACGTGCTTGCCTTGTTCCTGGTCTTGGTGGGATGGCAGCTGGTCTTTCACCACCAGTGCGACGTCACCCGCGGGCTTTCATCGGTGCTCTTTATCGAGTGGAGCAGGTTCCCATTGATGCCTCGTTTACTGACCATTTTATCATGGATGGGTATTAGACTTTGTCAAGTACTTTTTCTGTATTTACTGATACTGTCATGTGACTCTTCTTCTTGAGCCTGTTGATGTGATGGATTACACTGATTTTTCTCCAAATGTTGAACCAGCTATGCATACTTGGAATAAATCCTGCTCAGTTGTGGTGTAGACTTCTTTTCATACATTGTTGGCCTCAAGTTGCTGGTATTTGTTGGGGATTTTTTTTGCATCCATGTTCATGGGAGATGAAGGGTCTTCCTTGCATTGTCTTTGCTGGCTCTGGCATTAAGGTGATGCTGGTCTCACAGAATAAGTTACCGTGTATGCCCTCTGTTTCCTCTTCTGTCTTCCAGAAAAGATTTTAGAGAAATGGTATAGTTTCTTCCTTAAATGTTGGTAGAATTTACCAGTGAACCCATCTGGACCTGGTATTTTAGGATGCTATCAATTATTGATTCAAGGTCTGTAATCCGTACAAATCTGTTCTTATTTCCCACTTTTCCTGGTGTGGGTTTTGGAAGACTCTGTGTTTCCAGGAGTGACTCCATCTCATCCAGGTCATCACATCTGTGGGCAGAGTGTCCTGGTGTTCTCTGTTACTCTCTTGATGTCCTTGGAGTCTTTAGTGGAGCTGCTGCTTTTAATTCCTGTGTTAGTGATGTGTCTTTTTTTTTTCTTAGTTAACCTGGTATAGATAGAGGTGTTTCAATCTTATTTATCTTTTTAAAGAACTAGCTTTTGGATTTGTTGATTTTCTTTTTTCCTGTTTTTAACTTTATTGATTTTTGCTCTAAATTTTACTACTACTTTTGTTCTTCCTGCTTTGGATCTAATTTATTTTCTTAGCTCCCTAAGGTGGAAGCTAGGGTTATTGATGTTGGATTGTACTGTGTCTGCTGTGCATTCAGTATTATGTATCTCTTTCTACACATTGCTTTCACTGCATCCCACAAATTTCAGTGAGGTGTATATTGTTTTTAATTTAGTTGAAAATATTTTTATTTTGAAGTACTTTAGTTCAAAATACTTTGAGATTTCTTTGACTTATGCTATTTGGGAATATGTTGTTTAAGCTCCCATTCTTTGAGATTTTCCAGTTATCTTTCTGTTACTTATTACAAATTTAATTCCATTGTGCCCTGAGAACAAACATCACGTGATTTGTTTTCTTTCTAACGTGTGGAGGTGTGTTCTGTGGCCCAGGATGGATCTGTGTTGGTGGGTATTCCGTGTGACTGGGAGCAGCCCCGTCCTGCTATCTGGACGAGGGGCATGCTGGCACCTCCCGGTGGTGGCCTCGAGCCAGCTGTGTCCTTGGTGACTGTCTGCCTGCGGGATCTGCCCCTTCCGATGTGGGGATGGGGAAGTGGAGCCATCCTCCTGAGCTCCCTCAGTGTTTCTCTTGTGTAACCTGATGCTGTCTTATTGGTGCAAGCGTGTCCAGGCTCCTGCATCTTCTGGCAGAGCTGCCCTGAGTCCTTACCCCTCTTTATCCCAGGTTGCTCTCTGCCCAAAGTCAACTCTGTCTGAGAGTGATGTAGCTACTTCCACTTTGTCCTGATTGGTGTTAGCATACTCTGTTTTTCTTTCTTTATCCATTTACTTTTAACCTATGTATCTTTATATTTGAAGGGGGTTTCTGTAGGTAACATGCAGTCGGCCTTGTGTTTTGATCCGCGCTGACCGTTTTTGCCCTTCACTTGATGCGTTTAGACCCCTGATGTGTGAAGTGATTCTTGATGCAGCTGGGTTAACAGCTGCTGTGTTCACTGTTCCTCTCTGATGCCCTTGTTCTTACTTTGTCTTCTGATCTTTCCCTTCCTTTCATGGCTTTACGTGATCTTTCAATGATTCCGTTTTCCCCCTTAACACGTCAGTTATGCTCATCGTTTCACTTTGGTGGTCTCCCTGAGCACACAGGGCAGGCAGACCTCATTTCTGTGCTTTGCAGATTCTGTGTTTTCATAGATTGAAGGTTTGTGTTAACCTCAAGTCAGGCCAGTCTGTCATGCCATTTTCCCAGTGGTATTTGTTCTTTATTCACTTTATGTCTCTGTGTCACATTTTGGTGATTCTTGCAGTATTTCAAACTTTTTCAGCTTTTTATATTATGGTTATCTGTGATCAGTGATCTCATTTCTGCCATGACTTGTAAAAGGCTTAGATGATGGTTAGCACTTTTAGCAATAAAACATTTTAAAATTAAAGTGTATACATTGTTTTTTAACATAATGTTGTTGCTCACTTAATTAAACTAAGTACAGTGAAAACAGTAAGAAAACTAAAATCATGGCATCTGGTCCTGTCACTTGATGGCAGATAGAAGGGGGAAAAGTGAAAGCAGTGACAGATTTTTCTTACCTTGGGCTCCAAAATCAGTGTGGACATTGACTGCAGCCATAAAATTAAAAGTTGCTTGCTCCTTGTAAGAAAAGCTATGACAAACCTCAGTTTAGTTCAGTTCAGTCACTTAGTTGTGTCTGACTCTTTGTGACCCCATGAATCACAGCACGCCGGGCCTCCCTGTTCATCACCAACTCCCGGAGTTTACTCAAACTCATGCCCTTCGAGTCGGTGATGCCATCCAGCCATCTCATCCTCTGTCGTCCCCTTCTCCTCCTGCCCCCAATCCCTCCCAGCATCAGGGTCTTTTCCAATGAGTCAACTCTTCGCATGAGGTGGCCACAGTACTGGAGTTTCAGCTTCAGCATCAGTCCTTCCAGTGAACACCCAGGACTGATCTCCTTCAGGATGCGCTGGTTGGATAACCTAGACAGCATTAGAAAGCACAGGCATCACTTAGCTGAGAGGCTTTGTGATCTGGCGTCAGCTCCCCTCTCTCCTCCCGCTGGTGTTCTCACATGTGAATGTTATACCTTTGGTGGTGTCCTATGATTCTAGGTATTTTATTCTGGCTTTTCTTTTTTTTTTCAGTCTTTTTTAATCTTTGCTTTTGAATGTTAAGAGTTTCTATTGTTACATTCTCAAGTTCAGAGATTCTTTCCTCAGCCATGTCCAGTTTACTGTTAACCTCGTTAGAGGCACCTCTCATTTCTGGCAGTGTTTCTAACTAACATTCCTGTTAGGTTCTTTCTTAGAATTTCCCTCTCTCTGCTTGCATTTCCATCCATTCTTCCACGTTGTCTCTTTTTTCCATTAGATCTTACAGCATTATCACTCATAGTTGTTTAAAATCAGAGCCTGATTTCATCCAGCATTTCTGAACCTGGTTCTAATGCTTGCTCTTCTCAATGATGTTATAGCTATTTGATGCCCCTTGAGATTCCAGATGCATTTTAGAATGGGTTTTTCTATTTCTGGGCAAAATACCATTGGGATTTTGATAGGATTCCACTGATTCTGTAGATTTCTTTGGGCAGTGGACATTTTAACAGTGTTGAGTCTTCCAATCCATGCACATGTAGTGTGTTTCCACTTACTTATGTCATCTTTACTTTGTTTCAGCAATGTTTTGCAGTCTGTGTGTGTGCTCAGTCGTGTCCAATGCTTTGCGACCTCATGGACTGTAGCCCGCCAGGCTCCTCTGTCCATGGGATTATCCTGGCAAGAATCCTGGAGTGGGTTGCCATTTCCTCCTCCAGGGGATCTTCCCAACCCAGGCATCAAACCCGTGTCTCCTGCATCTCCTGCATTAGCAGATGGATTCTTTACCACTGAGCCACCTGGGGAGCGTGTTTTCAGTTGACCTGTCCTTGATTATCTCAAGACCTAAGTTACCACAGAGTTTAAATGGTCTGGTGCAATAACCTTAATATCCAGAGGTGACAGTAGAGACCCGAACAGGCTGTATATGTCCACCGTCAGGTGTCTGTGGGCAGACCTCGAAGGAGAACCCAGACCCTTCTTTTTGCAGGGACCTGGAAGACTCTTGGCTGTAGAAAATAGAATGTCATTGACTTCTCAAAGTGTGATCAGGGTCATAAGGCCAATATCCGTAGTGTGTGATTGAATTCTGTTTTGAAAAGTGATTCTTAAGCTGCCTTTGTTAGAAATTAGGTCCGCTGTGAATGTTTACCTTTGTGTGGAAGGACATCCTATTCTACAACCTCACATTTCAATTACTAGAGAAATATATTCACTTAATGTGAAAATAGAAATTTGAAACACCATGTTCTTGAACTTTCTCTTTTGTTTTTTGGTCGGTCCATATGGATCTTAGCTTCCCTGACCAGGGATAGAGTTCGTGCCCCCTGCATTGGAAGCATGGGGTCTTAACCACTGGACTGCCAGGCAAGTCCCTCCTTGAATTTTGTTGGTCACATGTACCGCAGTGCTAGGAGATCCTCGCACGGGGGGCTTCCTGGAACTGTCACCCTTTAATGAAGCCGGGTGTGGTGAACAGTCGTCCTGGCTGAGTTCACTCCACCTTCCCTGTGGCAGAAGCCCCCGCTTCTTCTCCTCAGAGACCTTGAGGCAGTTGTCAGGGGTGGAGGTGTCTGTGTCCCGGGCCTGCACACGCGGGTGCAGGTAGGAGGACCAGACCAGGCTTGCGTTTCTTTGCAGACCTCACCACTCCAGGGTCAAGTGCACTGACCCCTCCGCCAAAAAGGGCTTGGTCATGGACGCCGATGACGAGGCGGTCCTGAACCTCATTGCCGAGTGCGAGTGGGACCTCAGCAACCCTCCTGGGAGCATGAGTTCCAGCCAGAAGGAATCAGAGGCCAGCCTCCAGAGCTCCCAAGGTAGGCTGCTCCTCGCCGAGAGGGTGGGCACACAGCCCGGCTGGGAGGCTGACTGCTGCCTCAGGATCCACGCTGTCTTTTTAAGAGAACTTACCTTTAAATGTAGAATCTTGAGGAAGTCTTGTGCACCTGTAAATATCAGTAATTCGATCATGGAATTACAGGCAGAGAAGTCAGTATATTTAGGTGGATGTAGTCATACTGCAAGTCTTTTACTTCAAGTCCCTCTCGGGTCAGTTGTAGGGGCAGCGAACATGTGAGGCGCCTGAGCAGACCAGGAGGAGGTGCCCTGTGCCGCAGGGGCGAGTCCCCGCCGGCCGCGTGGGGGCTCCTCTCTGACTCCGCTGCGTGTGGGTGAGGGGCTGAGCCCTGACGAGGACAGGCGTGTGAGCTCCTCGCGCTCGTGCCGGCTTCTCCACCAGGCTCGTGTGTGAGCTCCACCTGCTTTGCTGCTGCTTCTCTCATGGGGCCCAGGAGCTTTTCGTGAGGTCACAGCGGCTGGGTCTTCCTGCTGCAGTGGCGCCCTGCCTCAGCTTCCCCACCACCTCCTGGGCCCGTCGGGCTCTCCAGTGTGGTGCCCGTCCTGGGTGCGTGGTGGTGTCTACTGAGGGCTTTAGTTTGAATTTCCTAGAGACGAGTCCCAGCAGCCTGCTCATGCGCTCATGTCATCTTTGAGCCGTTTCTGTTCCTGCTGGCCCTCTCCCCTATTCCTTTCTTGATATTGATGCCCTGGACTCCATTATACTGGTAGAACATAGCCTGTCTCAGATTTCTGCCCACCCTGTGGCTTGCCTTTCATTTTCTAAACAGTGCTTCCAGGAGCGGTTTTATTTGAGTGAAATCGCTTCACCCTGTTCCCCTTCATGGTTGTGCTTTTCAGTCTGCTGCCTGTGCTTGCGGAGGGTTCCTCGCACACACCTGTCCATGTCCTGGGGACCCACACTTAGATCTGAGAGCTACTCTCTCAAGTGAATTTCTGGGTGTGGTGTGAGGTCGTGGCTCAGGTTGTCCGTCTGTCCCAGTGTGTATCCAGCTGTACCAGTGACATTTATTGCAAAGACAACCTTGCAGTGTTGTTTGTTCAGTGGCCTGAGTCTCTGGATCTGGCGACTGTTGTGTCTGTCCTGACTCCTCGGCTGGATGCGGTTTCCCGCTGGATGTGGGGCTGGGTCACCTCGCCTGGGTGCTGTGGGAGTGACGCTTGCAGGTTCCTCATAGGGTGGCTGGTGCTGTGTTATCCACTCAGCTTTTTTCCCTGTGTACCCCACATAGGAGTGTGCTTGACACGTATGCTACACTGACGTGTAAGTTTTAATGGAATAAACTTTTTAACTGTTTTTTAATACAGCAGAGTCGCGGCACCGACTGAGCCCACAGTCAGTCCAGCACCAGTGCGGGGACTACCTGTGGAAAGGCCCTGAGAGGCGCAGGAGCAGCTCCAGGGCGGGCTGTGTGGAGCCGAGGCTGCAGGACCAGCGCTGCGGCGAGCTCCCACCGCAGCACTTCGCCCCAGGTGTGTGCTGTGGTCCTCTTCTCTCGGCTGTGTTTGTGTGTGGCCCTGAGATGTGTTAAGGGAAGAAGCTCCTTTACAAATGGAAGCTGACATTTGTAAAACATCTGTGGTTTAGGTTCCTGCTCTGTGAGTACTTTGGTACTTTCTCGACACACTTAGACTCACATACACTTTCTTTTGTAAATATATCATGGGCCTATGACAATAGCTACAATTAGAAATCCCTTCATGAATCACAGCCTTGTCGTGGCAAAGGGATTTGTATAATTCAATGAAGCTATGAGCCATGCCATGCAGAGTCAACCAAAATGAACAGGTCATAGTGAAGAGTTGTGAAAAAACATGGTCTACCGGAAGAGGAAGTGGCAACCCACCCCAGTATTCTTGCTGCAAGAACCCCATGGACAAACAATATGAAAAGGCAAAAATACATGACCCAAGATGAGCCCTGCAGGTTGGAAGATATCCAGTCTGCTACGGGCAAGGGTGGGGGGCAATTACTAATAGTCCTACAAAGAATGAAGCAGCCGGGCAAAACTGGAAGCAGCGCTCAGCTGTGGATGTGTCTGGTCATGAAAGTAAAGTCCGATGCTGTAAAGAACAGTATTGCATTTAAACCTGGAATGTTAGGTCCACGAATCAAGGTAAATTGGATGTGGTCAGCAGGAAATGGCAACACTGAATGTTAACATCTTAGGAATCAGTGAACCACAGTGGATGGGAATGGAAAAATTTAAATCAGATGACCATCTTATCTATTACTGTGGGCAAGAATCCCTTAGAAGAAATGGAGGAGCCCTCATAGCCAACAAAAGAATAAAAAATCCAGTACTTATGTATGGTCTCAAAAATGACAGAATGATCTCTGTTCATTTCCAAAGCCAACCATTCAGTATCATAGTAATCCAAGTCTATGCCCCAACTACTAACGTTGAAGATGCTGAAGCTGACTGGTTCTGTGATGACCTATAAGACCTTCTAGGACTAACTCTGAAAAAAGACATCCTTTTCCTCATAAGGGATTAGAATGCAAAGTAGGAAGTCAAGAGATACCTGGAGTAACAGGCAAGTTTGGCCTTGGAGCACAAAATGAAGCAGGAGAAAGGCTAACAGTTTTGTCAAGAGCACATGCTGGTCATAGCAAACATCCTTTTCCAATAATCCAGGAGGTAACTCTACACAAAGGAGAAACAAAGGAGAAGCCCCAGCAAGACATTAGAAGGGGTGAAATCACGTTTAGAATCAAACCCCACACCCACCACCAGAGAAGCTCAGAGGGCTCAAACAAACCTTGTGCACACCAGGACCCAGAGACCCTTCAGAGACTGAGACAGAACTGTGTTTGAGTGTCTCCTGTGGAGGTACGGGTCAGCAGTGAACTGCCGCAGGGCCGAGGGCTCTGGGTGCAGCAGACTTGGGTATGGCATAAGCCCTCTTGGAGGAGGTCACCGTTGACCTCACCACAGAGCTGCCAGAACTTAGAGAGGGCTGAGGAAACAGATTCTTGGAGGCACACACAGAGCCTTGTGCACACCAGAACCCAGGAGAAGGGAGCAGTGACCCCACAAGAGACTGACCCAGACTTGCCCGTGAGTGTCTGGGAGTCTCCAGCAGAGGCGTGGGTCAGTGGTGGCCTGCTGCAGGGGTAGGGGCACTGAGTGCAGCAGTGTGTGCACAGGAGGAGGTCGCCACTATCTTCATTGCCTCCAGCACAGTTTGGCCCCAGGTAAATAACAGGGAGGGAACACAGCCCCACCCATCAACAGAAAATTATGTCAGAGATTTCCTGAGCATGGCCCTGCCCATCAGAACAAGACCTAGTTTCCCTCTCAGTCAGTCTCTCCCATCAGGAAGCTTCCATAAGCCTCTTATCCTTCTCCATCAGAGGGCAGACAGACTGAAAACCACAGTCACAGAAAACTAACCAATCTGATCACATGGACCACACCCTTGTCTAACTCAGTGAAACTATGAGCCATGCTGTGTAGGGCCACCCAAGACAGATGGGTCATGGTGGAGAGTTCTGACAAAACATGGCCCACTAAAGAAGGGAATTGCAAACCACTTCAATATTCTTGCCTTGAGAACCCCATGAACAGTATGAAAAGGCAAAAAGATGTGACACTGAAAGATAAAACTCCCCAGGTTGGTAGGTGCCCAATTTGCTACTGGAGATCAGTGGAGAAATAACTCCAGAAAGAATGAAGAGATGGAGCCAAAGCAAAAACAGCACCTAGTTGTGGATGTGACTGGTGATAGAAGCAAAGTCCCATGCTGTAAAGAGCAATATTGCACAGGAACCTGGAATGTTAGGTCTATGAATCAAGGCAAATTAGAAGTGGTCAAACAGGAGATGACAAGAGTGAATGTCTACGTTTTAGGAATCAGTGAACTAAAATGGGCTGGATGACCATTATATCTACTGCTGTGGGCAAGAATCCCTTAGAAGAAATGGAGTAGCCCTCATAGTCAACAAAAGAGTACAAAATGCAGTACTTGGACGCAAACTCAAAAACGACAGAATGATCTCTGTTTGTTTCCAAGGCAAACCATTCAATATCAGGTAATCCAAGTCTATGCCCTGACCAGTAACGCTGAAGAAGCTGAAGTTGAACGGTTCTGTGAAGACCTACAAGACCTTCTAGAACTAACACCCAAAAAGATGTCCTTTTCATTATAGGGGACTGGAATGCAAAAGTAGGAAGTCAAGAAATATCTGGAGTAACAGGCAAATTTTGCCTTGGAGTACAGAATGAAGCAGGCAAAGGCTAATAGAGTTTTGCCAAGAGAACACACTGGTCATAGCAAATACCCTCTTCCAACAGCACAAGAGAAGACTCTACACATGGAAATCACCAGATAGTCAACACCTTAATCAGATGGATTGTATTTTTTGCAGCCAAAGATGGAGAAGCCTTATACAGTCAGCAAAAACAAGACCGGGAGCTGACTGTGGCTCAGATCATGAACTCCTTATTGCCAAATTCAGACTTAAATTGAAGAAAGTAGGGAAAACCGCTAGACCATTCAGGTATGACCTGTAAAGCAGGCTGAGTGCAAAGAATTGATGCCTTTGAATGGTGGTGCTGGAGAAGACCCTTGAGAGTCCCTTGGACTGCATGGAGATCAAACCAGTCCATCCTAAAGGAAGTCAGCCCTGAATATTCATTGGAAGGACTGATGCTGAAGCTGAAGCTCCAATACTTTGGCCACCTGATGTGAAGAACTGAGTCATTGGAGAAGACCCTGATGCTGGGAAAATTGAAGACAAAAGGAGAAGGGGGCAGCAGAGGATGATGGTTAGATAGCATCACTGACTCAATGGACATGAATTTGACCAACCTCTGGGAGATTGCTCTGGAGGACAGAAGAACCTGGCATGCTGCAATCCTTTGGGTCACAAAGAGTCAGACACAACTTTGCAACTGAATAACATAAAGACAAGGGAAGCTAAATAAGTTAATTGAGAGTGTTGTTTGCATGAATGTGGAAAAAGCGTCAAAACCTCCCAAGTGTGAGCAAACCTAGTCCCTTCCTGAGTTTTATCCAGGTGAGCTTGTGGGGACCTTGGAGGCAGGGTAGGTCGCGGTGGTGGCTGCCTGGTGCCTGTGGACTGCAGTCAAGGCCTCTTGCGCCAGCTTCATTTAGTTTGTGTCGTGAGATCTCACACGTGTCCCTTCACACGGATTCACGTGAGGTGCCTGTGTGCGTGTTCTGGTCCAGGATCCATCCAGTGCATGTGGAGTTTCTTCCTGTCACGTCTCAGATGCTTACAAGCAGGAACACGTCCTCGGTTCCCATCGAGTCTGTCCTGGGTTTTTGAAGCGTTCAGACTATGCTTCTGTTGGGTCGCCCTCAAGTGCCAGGCGGCTTGCCCTGCGGGCTGCTCGTGGCCAGGCTCGGCTGCGCTGCTGTGGGGGGTGGGCTCGTGCAGAAGCCCCGGGCTGCCGCAGGTCAGGGGGAAATGGGGCAGTGTCATGTGGTGTGGGTGCCGCATGGAGGGTGACTGGTGTGCATTTGGGGTGCGGAAGGCGGGTGCTGGGTCCCTCTGGGGTGAGTCAGACCAGTCCCGGCAGGGTGGTGGTGGTGGCCTGCTTACACTGGTCAGGTGGACTTGGTGACGGACATGGAACCGGGGGGCATTGGTGTCCAGGTGGTCTCTGACCCAGGCAGCCAGACCACAGTGGTTCATCCACTTACAGACCCAGTTGACCCAGTTTGCAATGCATAGTTTGGCAGGAAGACAGTAATTGGCCAGTGTTGTCACTTTCTGGTTAATTTCCCGTATTTGTGTGCACACAACTGCAGTGCTGATGCCTGAGCCCCGGGAGCCCGATGGGGAGGGCTCTGCCCACTTCTCTGTTACAGACTCCACAGAGACTGAGGATTCCGGCGCTTCTTCTCAGAAGTCCAGTGTGTCGACACAAAAGATGTCAAACCCCTTGCCTGCTCCTGAGAAGTACAGGAAGCGGAGGATGCCTGGCGGGAGGTTCCAGGTGCCCGTGGACGAGGCGTGTCTCAGCTCTCTGGAGGGGAGCCTGAGTGTGAGCCGGAGGAGCAGCTCGGAGGGCTGGGGCGAGGCCGCCTCTTCCCTCTCGGCTACCCCGGGACCCGAGACCCCAAGGCCACCCAGCGCGAGCGAGGTGAGCCGGTGTGGGGCGAGGTGCCGAGCTCCTGGGGTGGACACAGCCCTCACGTGGATGCCTCCTTCGTGTCGTCACCACTGTCATTAGAAAGTGCACTTCCAGGCTGCCCTCGGATGTGGGGCACCACGAGGTGTTGTCTGGGCCTGTCGGCCGCACGATCTCTCATCCCGCGGTTGGTGCCCCCCGCCCCCGGGGCTGTCGTGAATGCAGTCCCGGCTGTGCGTTCTGTGGTTCTGGTTCACGAGAGGAGGTTCTCCCCAGATTGTCCCAGAGTAGTCTTAGACAGTGGCTCGCTGCCACTGTTACGGCCAAGTTGGAGACTGAGATGTTCTCAAAGACTTGAGGCTCGAGTGAAGACCGCCGTGCGGACGGGGGGCGGGCAGCCCTGGCACAGCACCCCCACGTAGGCAGAGGAGGGGAGAGCACCCGGCTGAGAGGACGCTGGGTCGTAGGTGCTGGGTGACTCCTGGGTGGCTGCCGCAGGCCTTGGGCTGAGGTCTGCTTCCTTGGCTGGTCTGGCTGCATCTTCAGTCACTCACTGGACTGAGGGAAGAAGAGAAAATAGAGGTTTGTGCCACTTGGGACTGTGCTGGGGCTTTCTTATCCCTGAATGGACATTAACCGTGGGCAGAGCCGCCCTGACGGACCCCCCTCACTATGGGGTTGGGACTTTGCACGAGGGGATGCTGCCTGCAGTGCCCCTTCTTCCAGCACTGTGGCCCCAAGTGGTTGTCCTGGAGAGGACTTGGCCCCCGCTCCTCAGTTGGGAGGCAGAGGCCTGACCCCACTGGGCTCTGCTCCCGCTCCTGAGGCTGCGTCGGTGCAGCTTCTGACGGAAGTGCTGATGCTGGTGCCCTTGTACGCTCTCACCCTCCACGCTTGTGGCCAGCTGTTGGCCTCAGCGTCTCCATGCTGACCAGCCCCAGGGGACAGCTGCCCAGCCCCGATGACCCCTCATGGGCCTGTGCGTCCCCGTACCCTGGGTTCCCGCGGGTGGGGGGTGGCGGGAGTGAGGGGTCCGGTGGCTCCCACACCCCCTTCCGGGTCTGGCTGGCTGTCCCAGAGGCTCTTTATGAGGAAACCCTTGCTTTGTCTAACAGTGAGGGCACCGGGCCTCATCCCAGCTCTGGCCCTGCTGGCGTTTACTCACTAAATCCCCACTTCTCAGGAAATGTTTCCTGGACACTCAGAAAGTGGGCCGGAGGGCAGAAGCCAGTCCCCTTTCTGCAGTAATCCCTTAAAATTGACGAAACGATTTCTAAAGGGAAGAAAAGGGAGCACTGATGGAAATGCCAGTGACTGTGGGCCCAGAATGGTCGGGCCCAAGTGGGCCCGTGAGGGTTCTGCCTGGCAGCCTGGTGCGGCACCTGCCCAGCCAGCCCTCCCTCTGGGCCTGTGTGCGCTGGTCACACTTTGGGCCTTGGGACTCCAGTGAGCGTTCGGGCTGAGACTGTCTCCTTCCCCCACCGCAAGAGTGGCGGGGGCTGGTCAGGAGGGCCCAGGACGCCGTTGCTCAGAACTGCCTGGTTTCCTGACTGTTACACAGGCCACAGCTCAGCCGTTCCTCCCGCTGCGGGATGGTTTTCCCACCCCACAGACATGGACAGGCATGCGGGGGGTAGGGAGGCAAGTCCCATGTACCACGCCTGCAGGTGTGTGCGGTGTGACCCTCCACCGTGGCATAGGCAGCGGACGAGGCGGCAGTCTGACACTGCATCGCACCTGCTGAGTCAGGCACGGGAGCCAAGGGTGGGTTTGTCTCCGGGCAGGCATGTCCCAAACTGCACTCCGCCGTGCTGCCCAGGAAGAAGGCCACCCTGGAGATGCTGATCCTGGAAGCGCTCCTCGACCTGGTGGACATGCACTGGAATGGCCGTGGGTCCCTGCACAGCAGTGAAGTCTTCCTTGGTGAGTTGGCCCAGGGTTCCGCAGGCTGGCGCCTGTGCCCACTGCTGGACCCTGGTCCCTTGGCCTCTCTGGCCCCGTCCCTGGCCTCACTGCCCTCTGGGCTGTGGTGGCGTCCCGAGGGCCCTGCGCAGGGTGTCAGGGTGCTCAGGAGGGGCAGATGAGGAGGCGCCAGTGGCTGCTGCTCCGCACCTGCTGGTGCCCAGCTTCCTGGAAGGCATCGGCAGCCAGCACTGCTGGCTCCTTCCTCTGGGTCCCTAGAGCTGTTGCTGTCTGCCTGTCGTCCCCATCCAGTCCTGGGGGTAAACAGACCTGACAAGGTCATTTCAGTGGCATACGTGTCCCTTTTCTAGTCTTCATACCCGTCGGTGTTTTTGAGGTGTGCAGCCTGTGTTTTTCAAAATGCATTGAACACATTTTGTCTACACTCATCCTCTCAACATTCTCTCTTTTAGCTCAGGCGAGACACATTTTGTCATCTGCTCAAGAGTTCACAGCCACTCAGGACACTTCGACAGCTGCGCGTGAAGGAATTAGCTCCCTGACTCTGGAAAATAAGTCTCTGCACAGTCGCCTTGCTGAGCTGCAGCAACAGTACGGCCTGAAGATGGCTGAGGTGGTGTTGGAGCTCAGCGACACGCGGAAGGACATGGTCAGTTCCATTTATTCTCAGTAGGGCCAAGACGGCCTTGACCTCACAGAGTGAGAGCAGCTTCTCAGCTCTGCTCCCCTGGCAGCTGTCAGGCACCCTGGGGCCCCTGCTGCCTGTGCAGAATAGGAGCCCCCTCTTCCACCAGGCTTCCCCGTCCAGGACGCCAGCTGCCCTTGAGGCGCGAGGCCTGGCTCTCGCTCCAGGACCACTCATGGCAGTGGCTGCAGACGTCTGCATTGCCGCCAGTTCCAGCTCTGCCTGTCCCGGGTGGCTTCGTTCTGTTCTGAGAGAGGCGAGAGGGCGAGGCTGGGCTTGCGGGGGAGATTCTCTGGTCCCGGTGTTCCCTGGCCCAGGCTCTGGGATGACTGGTAAGGAGGTTGCAGAGACCTGGGTGACCTGGGTCCCTGCTGCTGTCCTGCCTGCCCTGGCCAGCGCGCGGCTGGGGTGTTGTGTTGGACCTGCGAGGGCTCCACCACCAGGTGGCACCATTGGGCAGCCAGAGCCCGCGTGGCACGGACCTGGCAGTGGGGTCCGACTCCGGCCGGACAGGCCACCCTCATCCTCTGTAACGTCAGCATGAGACCGTCTTCATGAATGCCTACCCAAAATATCAAAAAAACAACCTGACTTTACAACTCGAGGAACTAGAGAGAAGCTAAACCCAAAGTAAGCGGAAGGAAATAACAAATATCAGAACAGAAACAAGTAGAGAGTAGGAGACGACAGGAAAAAATTAGCAAAACTGAGTTGGATTCTGAAGACACACAGAGCTGACAAACCCTTAAGTAGACTAAGAGAGGACTCAGAGTTAGAATTGAGAGAGGATACGCTAGAATGGATGCCTCAGAAATGAGGTCAAGGGATGATACAGGCATTTTGGAGAACCTAGAAGAAATGGATAAATTCCTCGAAACATATAACCTACTAAGGCTGTGTTAAGAAGAAGTAAAGCCTAATGGGTCAATAACAGATAAGATGCAACAGTAACCAACCTCTTAAGAAAACAAGCCCCAAAAGCAAGGACCAGACGGCTTCATGGCTGAATTCTGCCAGATACTTGAAGAAAAATTAATACTTATCCTTCTCAAACTTTTCCAAAAAATAGAAGTAGGGAGCCTACTTTGACACTGTTTTATGAAGCCAGCATTACCTGGACACCAAAGACTCACAAGAAGAGACACTACAGACGCTATCTGAGACTCAACAGAAGACTGGCATCCCAAGCGCAGCAGCGCATGAACAAGGCTGTACACAGCCCCGAGGGGTTGTCCCCTGGAGAGCACGGTTGGTTTACCATACACAGACACACCATATTAATGGATCTGAGACTCAGCAGAAGACTAGCATCCCAGGTCCAGCAACACAGCAAGAAGACTGTACACACCCCTGAGGGAGCTGTATACTCAGATACATAAACACATGGAGAGATAAAACACTGTTGGCCCAATTCACGCAGGTGTAGCATCTGACCAAGTTCAACATCCGTTCATGATTTTTAAAAAAAACTCAACAAAAGAGGTGTAAAAGAAAATTCCCTCAGCATGATAAAGGCTGTCTATGAGAAGCCCTCAGCCAACCTCACGATCAGTGGGGAAAACCGGAAGTTCTCCTGTAAGATCTAGTATGGGACAAGGATGCCCACTCTTGCCGTCCCTGCTGCTGGGAGGACAGTTGGCCCTCGAGCAGTGTGGGCTTGAACTGTGCGGATGCGTTTACATGCAGGTGTTGTTATTAGTAAAGGGTATATGTGCTGTGCTCACTCACTCAGTTGTGTCCCGACTCTTTGTGACCCCATGGACTATAGCCTGCCAGGCTCCTCTGTCCAGGCAAGAATACTGGAGAGGGTTGCCATTTCTTCCTCCAGGGGATCTTCTGAACTCAGGTGTAGTACCTGTGCCTCCTATGTCTCCTGCATTGGCAGGCGGACTCTTCACCACTGCACTACCTGGGAGGCCCAGTAAATACAGTAATACTGTACAATTGGAAGTTGGTTGCATCTTTGGATACGGCACTGCAGATTTGGGCAGTTGACTATAAATTATTTGTGGATTTTCAGCCGCAAGGAGAGTTGGCACCCCTACCCTCTCCACCCGCCGTTGTTCGGGGGTCAGGTATACTAACAAGAGCAAGCGGACAAGAAAAGGAAATATAAGGCATCCAGATTGGAAAGGGAGAAGTAAAGTTACCTCTGCTTGTAAATGATGTATAAAGCATTAAAGATACCATGAGAGAAAATTAGAATAAATTCGGTGAAGTTATAGAATACAAAGCGTAACAGAGATCATTCTTATTTCTTTATACCAATGAGCATTCCAGAACAATTCCATTTATAGTGTCAAAAAGAATAAAACAGGAATAAACTTAACCAAGAAAATTAAACATCTTAAACAAAGACATCTACAGATGTAGTGTAATCCCTGTAAAAATTCCAATGGCATTTTCCACAGAAATAGAAAAAACAATTCTAAAATTTGTATTTTTTTTATCATTTGTATTTTTCATTTTCTAATTCTACAAAGACCCCAAATCACCAAAGTGATCTTAAAAAAGATCGTTTTTCAGGCATCACACTTCTGGTTTAAAATGATGTTACAGAGCTGTGGTAATCAAACAGTATGGTGCTGGCATAAAAAAAGGCATAGATTGCTGGAACAGAATAGAGGGCGCAGAAATAAACCCTCACATAGATATCAACTAATTTTTGGCAAGGGCACCAGAAACACACCATGGTGAAAGAGTAATCTCTTTGGTAAATGGTATTGAGAAAACCTAATGTTCTTATGCAGAAGATGAACTTGTACCCTTGTTTTAACAGCACACGCAAAATCCAACTCAGAATGGACTAAAGATTTAAGGATAAGACCTGAAACTGTAAAACTCCTGGAAGGGAGTTCCCTGGCAGTCCTATCATTAGGACTCTGCTTCCCCTGTAGGGGTGTGGGTCCCAGCCAGGAACTATAATCCCACAAGCCACATGGTGTGGCCAGACAGACATATGAAAAGGATGCTCAGTATTACTAATCATCAGGGACACGCAAGTCAAAACCAGAGCGAGATGCCACTGCACACCTGCAGAGTGGCTTTCATCAAGAGACAGGAGACAGCAAGTGGAGGGTGTGGAGACAAGGGAGCGCTCGTGCTCTGTGGGCGGGAATGTAACTTGATACAGACACTGTGGAAAACAATGTGGGGATTCCTCAAAAAACCTACAGTAGAACCATCATGTTGTTCAGTCACTAAGTCGTGTCCTACTCTTTGCAACCCCATGGACTGCAGCACGCCAGGCTTCTCTTTCCTTCACTGTCTCCCAGAGTTTGCTCGAAGTTGTATCCATCGAGTCGGTGATGCCGTCCAGCCATCTCATCCTCTGTCATCCATCCCCTTCTCCTGCCCTCAGTTTTTCCCAGCATCAGGGTCTTTTCCAACGAGTCAGCTCTTCACATCAGGTGGCCAGAGTATTGGAGCCTCAGCTTCAACATCAGTCCTTCCAGTGAATATTCAGGATTCATCTACCGTATGCTCTAGCAATCCCACTTCTGTGTGTTTATCCAAAGGAGGTGAAATCAGGATCTCAAGAGAGAGAAATGCACTGCCGTGTTCATGCAGCATATTCATGGTAGCCTGGGTGTGAAACAACCTGAGGCCTTTGATGAATAAATAGATAAAGGTGATGTGTGTATACAATGGGATATTATTCAGCTGTGTTGTTGTGTGTGCATGCTCAGTCATGTCTGACTCTTTGCAACCCCATGGATTGTAATGTGCCAGGCTCCTCTGTCCTCAGAATTTTCCAGCTTAGAATACCAGAGTGGGTTGCTGTTTCCTACTCCAGTTATTTAGCTTTTGTTGTTGTTCAGTTACTCAGTCATGTCCGACTCTTTGTGACCCCATGGACTACAGCACACCAGGCTTCCCTGTCCTTCACCATCTCTCAGAGCTTGCTCAAACTTGTGTCCATTGAGTTGGTCTTGTTGGATGGACCTTGAGGGCATTGTCTAAGTGAAGTTAGTCAGACATGGAAAGAAAAACCTCCGTGATCTCATACCTGGGATCTAAGAGTTGAGTTTATAGAAGCAGCCGGTAGACCGATGGTCACCCTCAGCAGGAGATGGGGGAGCTGCGGGCCCAGGCAGAGCGGCAATTCTGTAGGGGTTAGTCCAGGGCTCTTAACGCGTGGCTGACAGTCATGTTAGCCAGGCCACGTTGACCCTGGAGCTCTGTTGAGAACAGAGTCCTGGTGCTCTCATCTCCAGAATATGTTTGCTCTGTGAGGAGACGTGTGCGCTGGCTTGTCTGTGGTGATTGCGTCACTGCACGTGCAGATCACGTGATGTCATCGGGGCCCCTCGACGGCATGTGGTTTGGAAGGGAGACCATCATGCGCTCAGTGCGAGAGGCTTTCACCTCCGATCACTAGGGTTCGGGTTAATGGTGTGGGAACTATTTAGAGTGTTCTATTATTTCAGTTTTATTTATAGTTTATAACAAGAAAGTAGATTCGACTCACACACTATAATTGCTGTTGTGGTCAGGCTCGGGTGTCGTTTGGTTGAGTGTGTGGGTGCTGGAGTTAGGCTGCCTGGTGGTGTGAGTCTGGCCACCCTGTGCCGTGCGGCTGAGCCCATGGCTGTGCCCCCATCTGCGGGCGAGCTGCTGTGGCAACCCGGGTGCTCAGCCTGGTGTCTGCAATGAGAGTCCTCTGGGAGCTGCCGCCCCGTGTGCGCCCCTGCAGCCCCCTCTCTGCCTCTCCCTCCTGCGGCGCCGTCATCTGACTCCTACCTGCTGTCACTCCCGTCAGCGCCCTGAGGGTGCCGTCCTTCCCCTCACGCTTTCCCCTTTGTGCCCACACGTGCTTGCTGTCTTATTCCGCTTTGTCTGATGTTAGTTAGCATTGCCACCTTAGTGTTGCCATAGTGCTTATATTTAAGGTATTTTTAAGTATATTTAAGGTATATTTTAGGCAGCATACACTTGGGTCTTTTGTTTTTATCTAATTAACAACCTCTGCCTTTTCTTTGCAGTAGGATTTTTTAAAAATTCAGTTGATTTAAACTAGAAAACCAAAACAATTGACCCATTTCTCCCACCCGTGTCCTCTTTCTTTGGCAGTTACCAAGTTCTCTACATCCACGAGCTTCACTTCTTTTGTTTGTTTGTTCTTTTAGATTCCATGTAGGAGTGAGATCGTGTGGTATTTGTTTTCTTCACTGTATTTATACCACATCTTTATTCATCTGTTAATAGGCACTTAGGTTGCTCCATATCTTGGAAATTGAGTAATGCTTCTGTGAAGATGGAGGTCCACATATATTTTCAAATTAGTGTTTTTGTTTTCTTCAGATGAATACCTAGAAATGAAATTACTTTACCTGGTAGCTCTGTTTTTAACTTTTTGAGGACTCTCCATAGAATTTTACGTAGTGGCTGTACCAATTTACATCCCCCCCAGCAGCAGAGGAGGGTTCTCCTTTCCCCACACCCTCACCAACACTTGCTATCACTTGTCTTTTTGATGATGATCATCCTGACAAGGATGGGGGGTACCTCACTGTGGTTTTGATCTTCATCTCCCTGGTGATCAGTGATGCTGAGCGTCTTTTCATGTTCCTGTTGGCCATCTGTATGCTTTGGAAAGATGCCCATTTTTAAATCAGATGTTTTTTCACTGTTGAGTTGTGTGAGTTCTTTATGTATTTTTTATGTTAACCTCTTATTAGATAAATGGTTTGCAGATATCTTTCTTCCAGTTTGCAAGCTGGCTTTGCATTTTGTTGCTGGTGTCCTTGGCTGTGCAGAAGCTTTCGGTTTCTGTCCCGTGGTCGAGAGGATGGGCCGTGGGGCAGGCAGCAGGTGCCAAACCCTCTGTGTCAGGTTGTCTGTTGCTACCCAGTGAGTTACCCCCTGGTCACACCTCAGACAGCACATGCTTCCCCGTGTGGTCTCTGGTCAGGGCCCAACGCAGGTGAGCTCTGTGTCTGACTTGGGGTCTCCTGAAGTTGCCATCAGGCTATAACTTGGGGCTCTGGTCACCTCCGAAGGCTCAAGGGAGTGTGGGTCCTCTGCACTTACTCCAGGCAGTACCGGGAGTCACAGCGCAACAGCTGCTGACAAGGATGCTAAGGCGGAAGGCCACCCTGAGGGTGTGCGTTGTGGCTGCTTGTGTGCGGTGGGGATGGCCCGCTTAGAGGGGCTGCCTCCCAGGGCGAGAGCACCCTCTGCTCCGTCCCCTCGTTTATGGAACAGGAGGGACAGTAGCCAGGAGGTTGCTGGAGACAAGTGTCAGAAACGTCTGGTGCTCGTTGTTGTATCAAGACAGAGGCCCCACACAGAGCCTCTTTTAGAGGGACACATGAAAAACGTGATGTGGTACCGGCAGCCGCTGGGTGTCTGCACACCAGTGGCTCCCGCGTCGTCCCTTGGGGCAGAGCGGCCTGGAAGCAGGACCGTGGATCTGGAGGCTTGGGCGGGTGAGCAGGTGGCACCCCTTCTCCTCACCCTGTGCAGTTTGGGACCGTTTGCATCCAGGCAGACCGACCGGGGGGCCGGCTTTGTAGCAGTGTGGTGGGCAGAGTTTGACCTGTTTGCTTGCATTGCTCCGTCCAGGATTACCTGAGGCAGCATCTGGACAGATCTCTGGAGGAGAGCAGTAGCTTGAAGTCGCTTTTGTTCAGCATGAAGAAAGACGTGAGGACCGCTGATGCTCCGTCCACGCTGAACCTGCAGATCTCCGGTGAGCTCGCGGCTCTCGTCCGTGTGTGCAGCCCCGTGTCACTGGGCCCAGGCTCGGCAGGAGCTGTGAGCGCGTCTGGGCGGGCGTGTGCAGGGCCAGCCCACTGACCCCGAGAGGCTGCAGGACCCTGCCCAGTGCTCCTTGCTCATGGCTCTGTCCGTACCCAGCTCAATGTTGTTTTCCTCTCTTCCCTCTCTTGGACTCTGTTTTGCCAGTTTTGCAGGTGTGCCCTTGGGACTTGGAGTTGGGGTGTGGCCTGCCCTGGGGTAGGTGAGGTATCGCAGGGTCCCCTGGGGGGCTTCAGCCTGAGCACCTGCTCCGTTCTGACCTCTCAGAGGCCCGAAGCATTTCCCTGAAGGGCCGGGCAGATGCATCTCAGGCATGAGCACGGCCACAGCGGAGGCTCTTGCCGGGCCTGCCTGCTCGGTGACCGACCCCTCCGACCTTCACCCCAGCTATGTTGGCTCTGGGTTCTTCCTGAAGGCCATCCCGTCCAACTGATCCAGCCCGCTCTGCCCTTCTCTGCTCCTGCCACACGTGCCCCTCAGGGGTGTCCGGGGGGGCGGGGTCCGGGGCTTTGCCCCCAGCAGGGCTGGCCCTGAGCCTGGTAGGACGAGGAGGAGGAGGGGCCACGCTGTCCACGCCGATGACCTCGCCCCGTGCTCCCCGGGCTCACTGACGCCCTAGAACTGTCTAGTCTCCCAGCACAGCAGTGGTTTCCCTGAGCACGGCCACCCTTGTCTCCTCAGGACTCCAGGCGAGCGTGAAGCGGCTCTCAGGCGAGCTCGTGGAGCTGAAGCAGCACCTGGAGCACTACGACAAGATCCAGGAGCTCACGCAGATGCTGCAGGAGAGTCACAGGTGCCGCCGGCGGACCCCGGCCCCCGAGCAGCGAGGCCCTTCCTGCTGCAGCCTCCTGGGTGGGTGGGGGGGGGGGGGGGGGCGGAATGTGCCGCCTGGTGGCCTGCATGTGGCCCCTGGGGTGGTTCTCGACTGTTCTCCTGGAACATGGAGATCCCACCTCACTCCCTGGTCCAGTTTTCGTGATGAGACCTGTGGGGAGAGGGGGTGAGGTCTGCAGAGGGGACACCGGCCAGGGGGCGGCCAGTGGAGCCAGGCCGTGACCCTGTGGGGATGGAGGGCTATGCCCCCTGCCCACCCCAGCCCCTGACCCAGAGGGGAGGGCCAGGCAGGTCCCGGCCATGGAGCGCCACAGCCTAGTGTGGGCAAGTGGGGCTGCGGTGCCCCTGGGAGCCACGGGCAGCGCTGGGCATCCACCTGGCCCTCTGCTGTCCTGGCAGGCAGGGTTTGTTCTGGGGGCAGCTCTGTGGAGGACACGGCCCTGCGCCATCGGTTGCTAGTGGTGCCATGAAGGCCCTCAGTCAGTATCGGCCCTTCCACCCCCACCCTCCTCCCGAGATCCCTCCAGAGTTAAAGACGGCCCCAGTGACCCAGAATCAGGACTTCTAGTTTACTGTGTCCACATCAGGATTGTGTTTGACCAGGAATTAGAAGAGTCTCCATCTTTGAGCCTTTTTTAGAAGTGAAACAGAGTTGTCAGTGCTGAGGGCCCTCCCTACCTCTTCCGCTCACAGGCCAGCGGGCCCCCGCCAGCCCAGGGCCCAGGAGACCCAGTCCCGAGGGGCACTGGGCAGCAGCAGGGGAGGCGGGGGCCCGAAGGCACACGGGCCCCGGGCTGAGCGCTGTCCCTGCCCCCCCAGCTCGCTGGTCAGCACCAACACACGCCTGCTGCAGGAGCTGGACCAGGTGCGCGCACAGCACCAGGCCGAGGTGCAGCAGCTGCACTGGAGCTACAAGGAGCTCAAGAAGACCCTTGCGCTGTTCCCCAGCAGCCCCCGAGACGCGAGGCCTGCCTCCCAGCCGCGCGCCCTATGAGCCCCTCTCCGCCGTGTTTTCAGGGCCTGAAGCGTCCTAAAAAGACAGATTCATCCACGCCTTTCATGTGTCAGACAGTCAGATCTTTACTTTTTCATCAACTATCTTGAGGTAAAGAAAATGTTGCATTTTTCTGCCTAACGTGTAAGAAAGTAGGTCTTTAGGATTAAAGAATATAATTTATTGTGTAACAGACAACCTTATTTAATAAACACGTTGTTCTAGAAAATGGCTCTAATTGTAACTGAGTTTCACAATGAATTCTGTTATGAAATAAGCTGTGCTCCACGGTTGATGAGCAGGAACTGTCAGAACCCAGACTGAATACAAGGCGCCCTTAGGGCTGTGGAGACTTGTCTGCAGAGCTGGCGTCCCACGGGGGGAATGCCTGCACGAGTGCTGGCTCTTGCTTGCAGGGCATTTCTGAGAATTGCGTCGTAACAGAGCACAGAGTTAGATTTTGAGTGTGGAAACGTATGTCATGGGATACTTGCTGTCTTTGGTGAAACGACGTGATCTGCTGAAATGGCCTGTGGCAGATTTTGGGGCAGAGCTCCAGTGGAGATGGGGGGCTGTGTGGGTCCCGGGCGGGGAGCATCACCCACCTGCAGGTCATGTTTTGTTTTTGTAACTTCGCAGGGAAGTTGGGGGAGGGGGGGTCATCATCAGATTTTTTTTTAATTTAAAGATTTCTGCATTAATCCATTTTCAACCTGTAGGAAATTGTCACCGTGCCGTTAGTTTCTGGTTTGGACTGCATTGAGCTTCTTGGAACCTGAGTTTGTATGTCTCATCAAGCGTGGGCGAGTTTTGGCCCCCATGTCCTGGTGATCCCCCCTGACCCAGCCTCCCGCCCTCCTTCCTGGGGCGCCACAGTGCCGCTTCAAGCACCGGACCTGGCCCCCACTTCCCTGCACTCACATCTCCTCCTCGGTTCTCAGCCTCTCCTGTCCTGTCAGAGCTCACTGCCCTTTCCTCCACCTGCCTGATGTGCTGTGGGCTTGTAGAAGGAGTTTTTTAATTTTAGAGATTCTGTATTTCTTAGTTCTAAAATTCCATTTGGTCCTCTTTTATAAAAAGGAAAGAAGCCTTTCTTGTAAAGGTTTTATTTCCCGTATGTTCATGTTTCATGTAACTGTTCAACCATATTTTGAACAACCTTACTGCAGGTCCTGGGAAACTGCAGTGCTGAGGCAGTTAACACGCCTGCCAGCAGGTCTGGGGGCCCTGCCGGCCTTGCCCCAACTTGAAGCTTCCTGAGCCTGCCTGCCTCCCTGAGGCCTGCACCCCTGTGCCCCAGGCAAGCACCTGGGTCTCCGGAGGGCCTCTTCAAGCCTTCTGTTTTCCTACTGGACAGTCTGTCTCTTACTTATTTGTAGGAGTTATTTATAATTCTGGATACTAGTGCTTTGTGGAATATGTTTGCAAATAGTTCTTTCTAGTCTTTCCACATTTTAATGGTGTCTTTTGAGGAAGAGAAAATTGAATAGGACGCAATTAATCAGTCTTTTTGATGATGATTTTTCTTTGTGGTCATAACACATTGCGTGTATCTTTTAAAAGAGTGCACAGCTCTGTTTTGAGTTTTAGACACATGCTCCCCCCGGAGCTGACTGCACGTGGTGTGGGTTAGCAGCCCAGCTCCAGGGTCCCTCCACGTAGGTCCGGTTGTCCAGCGTCATCACTCGCACGACTGCTCGGTCAGGGTGGTTTCTGTCTGCTCCCCACGCTATCCCGTCCATCCCTGAACAGCACCACAGCCGCAGGTCAGGGCCTCCCATCCCCTCTCAGGACGTTTGCACTACTTGTGACCCTTAGAATTTCATGAACTTTACAATCAGCTGGTTCAGTTGGGGTTTTGTCTGAGACTGCGTTGGTCACTTGGAAAGAGTGGACACAGGTAAGAGTGGGTCTTAGAGGACGTGACTCTAGGGTCTGTGTCCACTGACCAGATCTCCTCTATTACACTTCTGTACTTTTCTCCGTGGGGGTCTTATCTACCTCTTGTTTATTCCTAGGTTTTTCTTATTTTGTGATGCCATATCTAAAAGATATATTTTTAGAATGTGTTTCATTATATGGAAATATAATTGATTTTTTGGTATATTAATTTTATACTCAGCAATCCTGTTAAACTCTTACCAGTTTTCCTGTAGGTGTCCTGACCTCCCTAGGACAGCTGTGGTTCCTGTGAGAAGTGGCTCTTCTCTCTGCTCCATGCCGTCACTCGGTTTTACTGTACGCGCTCGCTTTGGTTTTGCTCCGAGTTTGGCTTCTCGGTGCCGGCGGGCTCATCTAGTGCAGTGTGGATTATACGGGGCCATAGAGGGCGCCTGTCTTAATACAGAACCAAGGAGGCCTTTCACCATTTCTCTGATAAATTTGAAATAGGTTTTTTTACCTTGCTCCTTCTGTTATTGGTTTGCTAAGAATTTGTCATCACGAATGGGTGAGTTTTATTAATAAGACACTCTTCTGCCACGTTGGGATGACCATACGATTTTTCTCCCTTGTCCTATAAACCTTTCCTTACACACGTGCTGTTGCCTGTGCCCCAGCCAGTGACCAAGTGACCCCAGCAGGGCCAGGGGCTCCTCCGGTCACTGCCCAAGACCCTGGCGAGCCTGGCTGTGGGCAGGGCCCCGCTCCTTCCTGTGTCCCCCCGAGCCGGGTGGTGCCACGGCCCACTCCGGTGTCTGTTGCTTTGTCAGCTAATGTAACCTACAGTTTTGAGTTTGAATCGGCCATCTCATTTCGTGCTGCTTGTTCTACTTGCGTGATATTTTTCCTTTCTGATTTTGCTGTTTTTGGATAGTTTTATATCATTCACACTGTCACCTTTTCAAGTGTGAACGCTGTGTGCCCTGTTCCCGGTGAGGGTGGCATCACAGCACGCTTGTGTATGTCTGATCGGCAAAGCAAACACCACACACGAGCTCTGAGCACGTGACTCCCCGTGCCCCCGTCCAGCTAACACAGCTCTCGGCCTCAGGGAAGTATTCTGTGTAACCGGACACAGTCACTGTTTGTGGTTATTTACCGTTCACTCTTTGTCCCACTTTCCCCTTTAGGGCTCAGACTTGCCTTTTGTCCTCGCCTTCTGCATTTGGAATCTCCTTTCTCACCTACTGACTGGCGTGCTCTCCATTATGGTCCAAAAACACCCTTACTTTTTGTCATTCCTGAGGGCACCGTCAGCCCGCATCCGGGGCTGCTGCAGGCATTTGTGACGTGGTTTGTGTCCAGACCCCGCTCCCCGCCTCACACCTGGCCTGCAGCAGACGCTGCTGTGACCTGCGGGCCCTATTGGGCGTGTCCGTGCCCCTGTGGCATCACATGATGCCCGCACACACGGCACAGCTGGAGGACCACAGGCCACGATTCAACACTTTTATTTGTCACCAACCGGACACAATGTTCACAACAGGGGGCACCCGAGGAGGTATGCAGACAGGCACGGGCTGTTTCACCACAGGTTTGCGAGCAGGCCTCGGACAGCGGCTTGGGTGGAGCGCCGTGCCCAGCCCCAGAGCTCCCAGAGAGACTCCGAGTCCCCCCGATGCCCCTGGAACTCCAGGAGAGCGGCTCTGAGTCCCCCGGACACCCCCAGAGCTCCCGGAGAGCAGCTCCGAGTCCCCAAGATGCCCCGGAGCTCCGGGAGAGCGGCTCTGAGCCCCCCAGATGCCCCCGGAGCTCCTGGAGAACAGCTCCGAGTCCTAGCACACTGACCAGGCAACGCTCTCCTCACTCCCTCACAGTGAGAAAACAGTGCAAAAATAGACCGCATCTCTATGTACATTTATTTCCCTTTCCTGAAAAGACTTAATACAAACTAGTAGCCTATGATCCCTTTCAAGTCTGAGTTATGTGCGTTTCCTTGTTGTTTGGCTTGGTCTGGGGAAGAGCGTTAGCCGAAGCACCCCCGAGTGCAGGGCAGCCGCCTCCCTCCCCAGGCGAGCCCCAGAGCATTCAGTAGTCGGTCTGTGGAGGGAGGCCGCTCGGGGTCAGAGCTCTGAGGACGGTCTCGCCGCTTCACAGTACAGCTGAGTCATCAGCCTGTGCCGTGGGAACAGGTGACAGCGCATCCCCACCTGTGTGCCACGGGATGGGGTGTGCCCACCCGCGTGGGGACACTGCTCGCAGGGGGGCGCCTGCTGGGTCCTGGAGGATCGGCACCAGCGGCCTTCCCGGTGACCGCGGGCCTCATGGGCCTGCGCCTCACTGCCACCCTCCACCCACACGGCCGCAGAAGCCTCCTGACCTCAGGCCGTCGGGCTTCCTGTGGAGCCTCCGCCCCTGGGCCTCGAGGGGCCGCCTCGGCCTGCCCTGAGCTGGTGGCCCCTGGGGTGTGGACCGGCCGGAGCCCCCACCTGCCTCTTCCTGACTGGTTTCCACCTGCTCGAACCTTAAGACTGAGGACACTCAGGTGTAAAAATACTCCAGTACAAATATAGACCTCTTCCTGTAATATTTTAAACATACATGGTTTCAGTTTTGGCGACCTGACTGCTGCCCGCTTGCTTCTCCTACAGCGTTAAATAGAAATAAATACGGGGGCGGCAGTGCTCGTGTGCACGCTGCGGTCCTGGCTGGGCGCCGTCCGCAAGGAGTGCCCCGACCACGTCCCCGCGTCCTGGCGGGCTTGTGCAGTTTCCTTGGCTCACAGACAGACACGTGATTTCTAGTTGACCGAGGTTAGTGGAAGTGAGCGGGTGATGCAGAGAACATGCAGCGAGACGCACACCTGCCTCTGTCCGTAGCGTCCATGCTGAGCGTGGGATCCGCATCCGTGCTGAGTCACGGGGCAGCAGGCCCGGGACCTCCGCTCGCCCTGCCCTGAGCTGGAGGTGCGTTTCCAGAGCTGCACTTCGGGAAGGGAACCTCAGCTGGGCCAGCGACACACGAGACCCGCCCGGATGCCTCTGGACGCCTCAGGAGCCCAAGAGCACGGGGCTGGGCCAGGGTGGCCACCGTGCATCAACCTTCCCTGGCCTGGGGGCGGGGCCGCCATGGCTGTGGGGAGCCAGTCTCCCGCAGCGGGCGGTGCTGCCCTGCAGGCCAGCCCAAGGGGGTGTGGGACACGGGACTCTGCGTGTTCTTGTCTGCACATGTTTCCCCACCTGACAGCTCCTAGAAGAGAAGAGCCCAGGGCGGGGGCCGGTGTCCTGCCCGCCTGCCACCCCAGCCTTCGGCTTCCCGGCAGTAGAGCGAGGGCCTGGCCGGGCAGCCTCATTTCCCCGAGTTGCAGACTTCCCAGATAGCAGTGACTGTGTCCTCCAAGTGCTTCCGGACACCTGTGTTCCATCCCTCACTTCCCAGGTGTTTCTGCAGTGAGGTCCCAGGGCCTTAGGACCAAGCTGCCCGCAGAAGCCACTGCCATTCCAGGGAGCACAGTGTGGGGGCCGTGTCCAGCGCTGGCCTGGGCCCCTCTGCGGGGGGCAGGCCTCCAGGCCCAGCAGGGACCGGCGTGCGTGGCAGTGCTGGCCTTCTCACGGCCACCGGTGCTGTGGGCCGGCCATGTATCTGGGGAGGGGTGCCCCAGGTGGCCCGCTGCCCTGGACATGGGACAGACAGCGGCGGGGCCGTGGGCTCCAGGAGGCACTCCCCAGGGGCTGCCATGGACTTTCCCAAGACTGACACCAGGGCCTCGGGGCCCAGCGGGTCACGTGCCAGGCTGCAGCCGTCTTCATGTACAAGGGACACGTGGCCAAGGAGCCAGTGCGACAGCAGGAGGCCCTGCCTCTGGCCTCTCGGAGACCCCGAATGCAGACACTGCCGGCTCGGGCCCTCCCCGGGCCAGTCTTGCCCTGCGGTTTCTGCTCTCCTGGGCAGGGGTGGACAAGGGGGCCACTCGCAGATGCCACAGCGGCCAGCTGGAGGGGGAGGGAGGGGGCAGCTGGGCCACCCGCAGCCTTGAGCCCAGGAGTCTCCTTGGCCCAGGACTCAGGGCACAGGGGTTGCAGGAGAGAGGCCCAGAGATGGGCTATTCTGAGTCTTCCCTGAGCCGTTCTGAGAGCAAACTCTAATCGCCATTTCTTATTTCTTCTCAGAAAAGTGAAATGAAATGAATTGCCCTTAGTTTTAGAATCCTGTAACTTCATGGTTCAAGTCACTTTGGTCGACGGATGAGGCTCCTTCCTTTGCAAAGCAGCCCTCAGCTCAGCGCCCACCCTTAGCACAGCCCTGGTCCACGGGCGCGTGTGCCTGAGCACGTGTGTGTGTGTGTGTGCGTGCGTGCATGTGCATATGTGCGCAGCGTGTGTGTGTGCAGCCTGTGTGCATGCGTGTGTGCAGCGTGTGTGCGTGCGTGTGTGTGTGTGTGTGTGCACGCGTGTGCCCGCCTCTCCTGCCTGCACGCTGCTCTCCGGGCTCTGCGGGGCCCTGGCTGGGCTCCTCCATGTCATCGGGGCTGCAGGTCGGCGCCCTGGTGCCCTCATCAGCACAAACCCGACAGGGCCTGTCCCGCCAACTCCTTTGGACACCCACTTTGCTGCAAGCCAGTGGCCGGTGTGGTCTGGTTCTGGGAGACACTTTGGAAAGGGCCGTCTGTCTACTTCCTGGCAGGGATGAGGCAGGTGTGTTAGGAAAGGTGAGTTCAGGGGCCAAAGCTGGGGTCCAGGGGGCGCGAGAGCTGGGCAGGAGGGAGGCTGGTGGCCCTGCGGCCACCCAGCCCCAGGTCCGAGTTCTGCCGGTGAGCACAGGAATGTAACGAAGTGGGGGTGGTGAGGGGGCCAGGCGAGGGGAGGCCCCGCCGGCTACTTGCCCCCCTGCACCTTCTGGTCGTAGGTGCCCGCGTGCTTGTAGCCCGGCACGTAGCCCGACTCATCCACCAGGTCCACGCGACCCGCCCGGCCCTTGCCCCTGCCTGATGGGTCGAAGCGCTCCTTGTGAGAGCCCGTGAACTTGGTGGTGTCCGTGAGCCGTGACACGGTGGGTGAGGAGATGGCTTTCTGCAAGAGAGCGGGGGCGTGGGGGAGGTCAGTCCGGGGCCCAGACCACAGACAGGGGCCGCCCGCGTGGGGACCCGCACCTGTCCTGCCCACCCCTGGTGCTCACCGTCACCCCCGAGATGATGGGGGCCTTGCCCTCGATGAGTTTGTGCACCTCCCTGACGGCCTCTTCCGCGCTCTTGTCTTTGAATCTCTTCTTGGCGAGCTCCTCCAGCGCCTCCTTGAACTGCTCAAATGTGATGGTCCTGCAGGACTTGCCCCTGCAGGGAGCAGAGTCTCATGGGGCACCCAGGGACCCCCCCCCCACCCTGCCCAGGGCCCCGTGACATCGGGGACCCTCACCTCCCCTGAAGAGCCCAGAGCGAGCCTGCCTCTCCCCTACCCTAGTCTGCAGCGTTTGCACCCAGTGGTTGGTTGCCATTGGCAACGGCAGCAAATATAAATTGCCTTGGAGAGAAGCTTAAAGGAAGCACATCGTTTATGAAAGACTGGACATCAAAACACGGCCTCGTCTGGTTCTAAAGCAGGCGAGCGTGCAGCCTCCGTGGGAGACGGACCCTCAGAGAGAGAGGGTGGGAAGCACGTCGCCCCCCGCAGTGTGGAGGGCGTCTCAGTCCCACCAGGGGCACCCCCAGCCTGCACAGAGGCACCATCCCCTGGGGACAGGATTGGGAGCCGCCTCCCCACGTCCCGGCCTGACCAGGGGCCTGGGAGCAGCTCTCCGCGAAGATGCAGACCCGGCTGCCCGGACCTGGTAGGTCATTCTGCCAACTTCAAGATGGCTCTGAACTGGCTCTCCATCTCTGAGAATCTTAACTGCCCCCTGGAGTGGATCTCCCCCGGCTAATCTGTTCCGTGAGGGCCTCAGTGTTTTACAGCAAGAGAAGGTGGGGACCTGCCCGGGAGGAGGAGAGAGGCTGCTTGCAGGGGCCCAGGGCCCCAGGGGCAATGTGGCTACAGTGCCCAGGGTCCTGGCTGGAGGGCACCCTGGGTGGGAGGTGGCACGCCCACGCCAGCACTGGCCACAGCGGCCGCAGGACAGGGTCAGAGATGGGGCACAAGGAGGACTTCGACAAGGTCACAAAGGCAGTGAGTGGTCGCATATCATCTTTCCAGCAAATAGAGCCACAGCGACCAGTGGGCGGTGTGCAGAGAGCAGGCCTGGGCTGCCCCCCCACCCACCTACAGTAGTAAGTAGACCACAGTCCTGCGCTTGCCATAGAGCCCGAACTGTCCACCTTCTGAGAGAGCATCCAGGTGGAAATCTTTGTGACCCTGGCTTAGGCAGAGATCTTCTTAGAAACAATCCCCAAAAAACAGTCCAGAAAAAAAAAAAGAATGAACTGGACTTGACCAAAACTTTTAAAACCATGCTCTTCAAAAAGATACTGTTAAGAGAAGCAAAAGACAAGCCGCAGACTGGAGAAAGTTTGATAAAGTATTCGTATCTGAGTATGCAAATTACTCTTACACCTCAACAAGAAGAAGAAAACCCCAGGTAAAAAGTTGGGCAAAATATTTGAACCGGACACTTTTCCAAGATCTACCAGATGCGAACCAGCCCAAGAAGGACATTCCACGCTGCCAGGCGTGAGGGAAATGGGAGGGAATCCCAGTGTGGCCGGACGTGGCACCCCTGCCAGCACACACCCGCCACCACAGATGCCGTGAAGGCCGGATGAGTGCACAGCAGGGCGTGGCGGGGCCCCTGGGGAGGCCGGTGGTCCACACGGCCCCGTGACCCCTCCTGGCCCACTCGCTCACTCTCCTGTTCACCGACCTGTTCAGTCACCAGAACTCAAAACAGCTCGGCGACCATAGACAAACACCTCGGCACAGCCCCGGCACACACGGGGACTCACACTTGACACATGAGCCTGAGGACTCAGGACACGCTGACCGACTACACCAAGGTCAGGGCGACGGAGGAAAGAGGCCTCGTGAGACTGGAAGTCCGGGCCGTGGGTTCCGCCCGCCCCTGGAAGCCCGCTGCCCTGCACGGCCGCTGTGAGGCCGCGGGCCCGGCCCTAGCTTGGGGGTGACCCTCCGCAGCCATGGGGTCCCGCTTGTTTGTACCGAGTCGTCAAAGGCGCGCCTGTCTCTATTCACGGGCTCCAGGCCCGACCGGCAGCCCGGTGTCCAGTGGGGGGCACACAGCCCTCCCTGCGCCAGGCGCCACCAGCGTGAGTCACTCGGCTGGGGCGGGGGGGACAGCCGCCCGGGTCTCCATCAGAGGACGCATTCAGATCGCATGGACGCGGGGCCCAGGGCTGACCTGCCTGCCCCGCTGGGCAGGGGCGGGCATCCCTGCCGTGACTGCCCCGCAGGGTTCGGGGCCTGGTTGGGACCAGCAGGGAGCTTTCCCGGGGCCCCACGGCCCGCCGCTGAGAGCAGTCCCCAAGGAGATCTCCAGTGACAATGCCAGCTCTTCCCCGGAGACGCCTGGTTACTTGACACAGCTGCGCAGACACAGGGAGCCTGTTCTGCAGAGCACAGAGATGAGGGTCCCCACAGCAGACCCCCCGCTCCCACTTGGCGCCCGGGCCAGAGACTATTGTCCTGTGGGGACGCTGGCCTGGCGGTAACGGGGTCACCGGGCACACACGTGGCCCCGAGCTAAGCTCCTCGGGCGCTGCTCTCCCAGTTCTGCAGGCCCAGGGCAGGTCAGCCGGGGACGCCGGTGGCCAGGGATCCTGGCGGGGGCCAGCCAGCCCTCCCAGGACAGAGGTCGGTGCCTCCAGGGCCAGCGTCACGCAGGGCCCTGGACTTTGGCCGACACGTCCCAGGACGGGGCAAGGGCCCCCTGGACCACAGATAAACAGCCAACTGCGGGGCTGCAGGAAGCCGACTCCAGGCGCCCCTGACCTGCAGGAGCCGCACCCGGGCGACACGTCCAGGAAGCAGGAAGTGGGGCCTGACCCCCAGCAGCCCCGGGCCGGGGGGGCCCTGGGGGGACTGGACCACAGGGGAAACGCGGGCTGCCACACGAGTGGCACCAGGCACGGGCACGGGCAGACGCTGGTCCCTGCTCCTTCCCAGGTCCACAGGCTGCATCCTGGCCTCACCCCCGCCTGGGCCTGGGGCCCGAGGGCGACTCTGCTCACACACAGCTCTGGGGGTGCCGGGCCCCCGCCCCAGGTCCTGGTTGTCTGCAGACGCACCGGGCGGGCAGCAGCAGGCCTGGACAGGCACTGCTGGAGGCCTGCATGGCCTCGGGGGGCCGGGAGAGGGACCCCCGGACCTTGTGAGACCTCAACACCATAGCTGGAAGCAGGACCTAGGGGCAGCATCCCTACCAGCCTGGACACAGGGGCTGGGCCCCTGGTGGGCCCGGGACGCCCCGTCCCAGGAGCTCAGCCCACCCCACCTGCTCCCTCAGGCCCCGTGGATGCACCACGCTCCACGCTTCAGACAGTCCCTGTCCCGTCCCGGCCCGTGTTGTCCTCACCAACCCAGACAAGGCTCCAGAATCATGGGGAATGTGACCATCGGCCAGAAAGCTGTGTCAGGGCCAGGAGGGGAAGCCTCCCCTACCCCCCCCTCCCGGCCACCCCACCTGGGCGCACACGCAGGGACCCCGCCACCCACGGACCCCCCCGACAGCGGTGTCGGACCCCCGACGTGCTCGTGGGAAGGCGTCCTGAGTTCACTCCTTCCGCCCTGGGGTGGCGGAGCAGGGGTGGGGGTGGGGAGCCCCGGTCTAGGAAACAATAGTTTTCAATCAAGGCCTGGGGAAGAGCGGCAAGAAGTTTGTTTAAAACTTAACACATAGTAACATCGAAACAAACAAGCGCTGTCATGGCGACAGGCCCAAACAGAGGCTGCAGATACTGGCCGGCGCAGAGCCACTAAGCCATGGCAACCGCCCCAAACAGAAACAGCCGTCGCTGTCAGCGCCCGAGGCTCCGCGTCCACGGCCACGGCTCCCACGAGCCGGGGCGCCTCTGCCGGGGCTGCCACCTGGGGACCCTCCACCCAGGACGCACATGTCCACGCTGCACCGCATTCTGCAGACCTGGGCGCCTGGGGTCCCTGACCTGGCCTGCAGAACCCTGCCCGGAGCACCGCCCACCTCTCCCCAAGGACAAGAGCGTGAGGGTGGGCCCCTCACTCCACACCCGGGAGGTCTGGGGGGCCCGCCCCCGGGACAGGTCACAGGGATCCCATGGGGAGCCAGGGTTTAGGAGGGCAGCGGGAAGGAGCCACAGGCTGCTCTTAACTGTGTCTTGATCACGACCCTCGCTGGGCCCGCGCCCCCAGACGGCCGGCACCCTGCAAGCTGAGGCAGCGACGCTGGGGTCTGGGCAGCCGGGGGGACTGGGGCGGCCCGCGTATCCAAGCAGCTGGCGTCTTGCCCTCTGGAGTGGGGCTGGGGCCAGAAGGGGCCACCCTTCCTGGGGCAGGAGGGCCTGTGTCCCCCACCGCCCAGGCATCCTGCACACGGAGTCTCAGGGCCTGTCCAAAGCGCTCGTCCTCCGGGTGAGCCCTGACCAGGGAGTGGAGCCCTGTCGACATGTGTGCACACGTGTGTGATGTGGTGGGTGCTCTTCTCGGGTGTGGTCCCGGGTGTGGCGGGCAGGAGAGGGGGAGGGGTGCGCTGAGGCCTGGATGTGCTCACGCGTGTGGACACACAGGTGGACACGCATGCGGCGGCCACTGTTGGTTACGCCTGCCCTTCCTCACACGTGAACGCCCCCAGCCGAGGAGCTGCACCATGGACCTCCGGCTCCCACCCCCCCGCCCCCCGCGGGCAGGACTCCGCCACGCAAGACCCTCGGGCCCCCACGGCCGGCTGTGACTGCCCCCACCCGAGGCCCTGGCCCCACCCGGCTGCCCCACGGGTCTGCCCCGCCCGCCAGGACCCAGACCCGCCCCCGATGGCCCCGGGCGGAGCCGGCACGCACTTGATTTTGCTGAAGACGATGTCCACGTCAGTGACGGTCACGCTCCGGCCGTCGATCACCTGGCAGTCCCGGCACAGCTTGGACCAATTCTTGCCGTGCATCTCCCTGCCCGAGGCCCGGGTGTCCCCATGCACCGCGAACCTCCGGAAGGCCTCCTCCAGGGCGCTGAGCTCTGCGCCCGTGGCGGCCGCCCCTTCGCCGGACCCCTCCGACTCAAGCGACAGCCTCTTGGCAGCCTTGTCCTTGGTGGGGTCCCCCGGGGACTTGGGGGGTGTCTTGTTGGCGGACTTGGCGGGCTTGGGCCTGCTGTCAGCCATGCTGCTGGGAGGAAGAGACGAGAGGTCACCTGCTTTGTGGGCGGCTGTGTGAGACCCCTTGCCACCCACGGACAGCAGCCCTGCCCGGAAGTGACTTCACAACCATGGGCTACACCGAGGGTCCCGCGTCTGCTGCAGACACAGCCCGGCCCCTCCAGCCCTGGCACCCTATCCACCTGTCCCCCAAGCTCACAGCCCCAGCCACAGGGGCAGCATGCGGCCAGCAGCCCCGGGGGTGCAGGGCCCCTCCAGTGAACCCCTCACCTCCCCCCCGGCTGCTCCTGCTCTGGGGGCTCCCCGAGCGACACCCCTCTGGGCACCAGTGGGGAGACACCGTCCTTGTGGCGAGGATCCAGAGCAGTCACACCACTGCCCCCACCTCAGGGCCCAGCCTGCTGACCACGGTGCTCCTCACCCGGGTGCCAAACGGAGTGCCGGGGGGAGAGGGGGCCCCAGGTGAGGGCAGGCGTCTGGGGGACCCCAAGGGCTGCGCACAGCTGCACCCAGGCCCAGGGTGGAGGCCCCGTGTTGGGGGGCGGCTGACAGTGTCCGGAGCCCAGTGAATCCCCGAGGCTGGGCCCGGGTCCCCATGGGGCTGAGGCATCTCCACCTCCAGCAGCTCTGTGGAGCCCGGAGCTGAGCATCGACACCCCAGAGTCATGGCCGGTGGCTGGGGCAGGACCCGAGAGCCCAGTCCCCAGAGGAGCAGCGGCCTCAGAACCACCAGGTCAGCAAGCAGAGAGACAGGCAGGACGTGGCCCGAGCACAGGGTCCAGCTGGGCGGTCAGAGCCATGGACAGCGAGCTCATTCACGGCTGAACCCACAGACAACCCTCAAGTCTGAGTCAGAGCGCAAGAAGCAGCGCCTGGCATGGCGGGAGTCCCCACCACACCCGGCTGAACTCAGGACCTTTGAGTTCCCCAAAGAAAAAGGTTGGCACAGCTTGAGACGTGCGGAGGCCCCATCGCTGGTGCGGGAGGCCCGGGGCCCGGGGCTCAAGGCCGGGTGGACATGGCTGTGGACGCGGCCGTGAGCCCCAGAGCCAAACTCTCCACTCGGGGCTCCACGTTCACCATGGACACACGGTATCTTAATAATCAAAAGTTACTTTAACAAAAAGAACAGGAGTCAGGACTTCCCGGAGGTCCAGTGGTCCAGGATCCACCTGCCAGTGCAGGGGACCCAGGTTCAGCCCCTGATCCGGGAAGGTCCCGCCCACCGCAGAGCAGCTAAGCCCGAGCATCACAGCTTCTGAGCCAGGGTGCCTGGGGCCTGGGAGCCACAATAAGGGAAGATGAGATACCGCAATGAGAAGCTCGCGCACGGCCATGAAGACCCAGCGCAGCCAAAAATAAATAAAAATAACAGCAGTCAGACCCAGTGCGCGGCGGGAAGCTCTCCAGGGTGCCTCCTTGGTGACTCCTAGGTGTTCTGGGGAGAAGCCGGTCTGGATGGGAGAGCAGAAGTCACAGCCCGTGTCAGAGCCGACAGGGATGTGGAGCAGGTGAGAGCCTGCAGACAGGATGCCCAGCAGGCTCTGCCCGTGTCTGCAGGGGAGGCTTCTCAGCAGCTGACCCTGGTGTGGGCCAGGGCCAGGGGCTGGAGGACAGGCGGGCGGGCAGGCGACCTGGAGGGAGCCTTGTGAGCATGGTCCAGCCGGCCCCACTGCGGCCTGCAGACCCCTGAAGCCTTGGGGCAGGGAAATGATGAGGGGCTGTATGTCCAGAACAACTCTCCCTGGCAATGCCCTTAGGACTGGCGTCCGAAGCAAAACCTGTAGAAAAGGTCACACAGGACAGACCCTTACACGCCACAGTCACTGCCTCTGCAGGACATCAGTGCAGCGTCTCGGCCAGGAGGGCTGGGAATCCGTGACAGTGACGTGCCTGCAACAGGGCCAGGTGTCTGTGAGCTGGGCCAGGTGTCTGTGAGCTGGGCAGGTGTGTCTGTGAGCTGGGCAGGTGTGACTGTGAGCTGGACAGGTGTGACTGTGTGTGCTGGACCAAGTGCCTGTGAGCTGGACCAGGTATTTTGAAGGCAGCATCAATTCTGCCTCTCCTGGTTCTCCTTCCTGGAGCAGAAGGCAGGTCTGCACTGTGAGTAAACATGGAGTGTGGATTCCTCCTTCTGCAGGTGTGAACACGCCTCTATTCCCTGGCTTCCTCAGCTTTCAGCCCCTCGTTCTGCCCGTGTCTACACCCCAACCTGCAGGCACTTCCTGATCAGACAGAGTATCTGGCCCTGGGAATCCCACCCCTCCCACCCCTCGGCATGCTCTGGGCTGAAGTCTCCGGGTGCAGACAAGATACACTGCCTTCCTGCACCCATCCTGTCTCCCACGGGTGCCGGGTATGCCCGGGTGGCCCGGCCTCCCTGGGGGAAGGACAAGCGTCACTGGGGATGGGTCTAGGCTGGTGTGCAGATGGGCAGGATGCGCCATCTGGAGCTCGGACCTGCACAGGGGACCCTCCGCCCCCCACACCCCAGGCTCCCAGCACCTCCCCAGGAGGTGTGTGAGGTCCTGCTCTGCAAAACCCGGGACCAACCAGCCCCAAGCAGGCGAGGGGTCCCCAGGCCTAAGGATGCCCCAACTCCAAGCTTTGTGATTCTCCCACCTCACACCCAGAGAGCCGGGCTGGCAACATGGGGAGCTGGGGTCACGGCCCAGGAACCATGGTGGCTGGACCCCCACCTCAGGCTCGGCCAGGTCCCTGGACTGGGCTGTCGGGCCGGCATCCCAACCCCTACTTGAGGAGCTGGGGGGCACCTACCCACTGAGTAACCACACGCCGGCGCTCCACTGGGCTTCTCGTGGCCAAGTCCATCCCCCCGGGGCCCGTGTCCCCAGGAAGACACTCGGAAGTGGGAGCTAGGCTGGGAGGGGCCCTGGGCCCTGGAGCTCCTGTGGGCTCCTCAGGGCGGCTGGTGGCCGGCCGCCCCCAAGAGCTGGGTCATGGGCAGCACCCACGCCCAGTCCGGGAGCCCGAGTCCCTGGGCCACGGCTGGGCCAGACAGCGTGACCCCGAGGCCCAGGGCCCGGCTGACCAGCTTCTGTGCAAGAACCGCACGGGCCCTGGAAACAGCAGGCCCCCGAGCCTCTGACAAGCGGGCTGCACTTGGACCTCGACGGAGCACCGGCCACTGGCCAGGCTGACCATCTGCTGAGGGCGCCTGACCGTGGCCTCGTAGAGGCCAAGCCACAGAAGGCCCCATGCCAGACACCTCTGGACACACAGAGGGAACCCAGAGGCCCTGTGCAGCAGGCGGAGAAGCAGGGGCAGTGGCTGCCTCCCAGGGCACCTCAGTCCTCTGGCTGGCTCGGCCCCCAGGGCGGACGTGGCAGAGTGGGGAGGCTGGGGGCGTGACGCCTGCTGCCCTCACGGGAGCCCCAAGCACACCTGCTCCACAGCCACGCAGAGGGGGCCGGGCGCCGGGTCAGCTGGGCCGGGGAGGACCCCCACCCGCCCCCCAGACCCCGCCAGGTGTGAGCACTGGACCCCTGCAGAAGAGCTTGCAGGTGGGGGAGGAGGTGAACAGTAAATTCAAAAGACCAAGCTGAGCGGACGCCACCATTCTGCGGCCCCCCACCCACCAGAGCTCAGCTCCCAGGGTAGGGTCCAGCTCCCGGCAAGGGCACAGTCCCTGAGCAAACAGTCCCGGGAGCGGTGGAGCCAAGCCTGCAGACCCTCTGGCTGCCTGCAACCTGAAGCTTTGGCTCTTTGTTCCAGAGTCCACTTGGGCACAACACAGCCTTTTGGCAGCTGTTCACATTCAAATCTCGATACAGCCACCACTCACAGCTGCCCAGCTCTGACGAGTGAATGATCACCCGTCCCAGTGTGCGGAGCCTCCCAGGCGGGCACCTGCCCCGCGGAGCTGACGGTGCCTGGAGTCTCGGCGTGGACGCAGCCCCCTGCCCCACACTGCCGGTCACAGGCTCCGCAGAGGCCCCACAGGGGCCCCACCCGCAGGGAGGGGCGGGTGACTGCACCGTCTGATGAGGAAGACACTGAGGGCCCGCGTCACGACGTCAGGCAAGGGGCCCGGAAAGGCCCACAGAGGTGGGGCCTCTCGCACGGGGCGAGGTGTCCCTTGGAGCAGCCTGGTCACAGCCACACTGGTCCAGGTCCCAGAGTCAGAGGTGACGTCTCCAGGATGAGAAGGAAGGGGCGGGCGGGGGGGGCATTCACCAAGGACCGGGGCCACTCTGCGTCCTGCAGCGAGACTGCTGTGGGGGCCACCCCCCCCAAACCTGGGGGCTGCTGCCGCTGGGCTGGGGGAGGGGAGGAAGAGGCCAGGACAGTTACCAGCCCTGCCCTCAGCAGACCTCATGTGGACAAAGGAACTTCCCTGGGTCACTGCGAGGCTGGGGGTCTTCCTCCCGGCGACCCCGTGGCCTCCCAGGAGCCACACCCCGGGCCCCACTGTCCGGGCCCCAGAGCCGGCCTCTGCCATCAGCTTGCTTCTTACAAAGCCCAAGAATACAGCACCTGTAGCCCACCTGCTGCCAGGGTGAGTCATGTGTGGCCACGTCCTCACAAGGTGGGTGAACCTTGTTTGGAAGAAGGGTCCCTGCAGATGTCATCAAACTAAGGATCTCTAGATGGGCCCACTCCGGACCAGGGTGGCCCTAAGTCTAGCAACAGGTGTCCTTGCGAGGGACAGGGGGAAGTGACACAGACCCAGAGAAGAGGCCATGTGAAGACGGAGGCAGAGATGGGGGCATCGCAGCCCCAAACCCAGGGACCCCAGGCTCCCTGGGAGACGGAAGAAGCAGGAGGGACCCTCCTGGACCTCCCAACAGAGCCCAGTCCTGCGCCAGTTTCATCTCAGACGGGGGCCTGGCCCGGAGCGGAAGGAGGACACATTTCTGCTGTTGCAGCCGAGCCTGCGGGCATTTGTTACAGCAGCCCCAGACCCTCACACACCAGGGAGACCGGGGGGCTGGACAGGGGGTTCCTGCCCCAGAGAAAAGTGCTCGCGGAGGCCCAAGTGGGTGAAGCACCGGGTGGGCACACAGACCCGGTGGCCAGAGCCAGCAGAGGGCCTGTCCAGGGCTCAGGCCCCCTGCTGCCGTGCGTGGCGGGCAAGGCAGGAACTCTGTCGTTCCGGAATCATGGCTGCGGTGGGCAGCCTGGCCTCTTCCCGGCGGCAGCGCCCGGCAGTCACCATGTGCCCGCACAGCTGATCCCGGAGCCAGGCCTCTCCTGCCCGCGACCACCGAGACCCTCAGACACCGTGGTGTCAAGGGTGGGCCCGGTGGGGCCGTGGCAGCAGGAGGCCACGCACAGGCCGGGGGGAGGCCCGGGGCTGCGGGGTGGGCCGCTGCCCGGGCCTGACCGGCTGGCAGGTAGGAGACAGTGTGGCCCGCAGGCCTCAAAGCCCCGCAGAGGGGAGAGGCGGCCCTCAGCACTGGAATGGAGGCCGGGCCACCATGCCGGGGAGCAGGAAGCCCCAGGCTCACCCCGAGGGAGGGGGGCCAGCAGCAGCCAGCCCTGCGCTCAGGGCTGGGGGGCGAAGCAAGGCCTGCCAGGAGGAGGGGCGCCCGGGAGCGGACGGGCTCCGCCAACTCACAAACATGGACTTGGGGGCCCTGGATCGCTGATGCCCCAGGCACCGCTGGACACACACACTCCAGAGGAGGGGACTCGCACTGGAGATAGAGCCGTCTCTGTGACACCTTTGGATCCTGTGTGCACACACGGCAAACAAACGGCCGGGCTTAACAGGGGAAGCGCCAGGAGCCTGCAGAGGCAGCAGGAGACAGAAGCCACATGAGGCCGCACGCTCTGCACTGGGCTCGCCTGGACACTATCTAAAGTGACGGCGCGCACGTGTGCAAAAGAAATGGGTGGTGCATGCCATGTGCGAAGAGAAAGGACAAGGTGAGGAATTCCAGAAGAGAGCACCGGCTGTGAGAACGCAGGCAGCAGCTTTGAGATGAGAACACCTTAGAATTTGGCCTGCCCTGCTGGCTCAGACGGTAAAGCGTCTGACTGCAATGCAGGAGACCCGGGTTCAATCCCTGGGTCGGGAAGATCTACTGGAGAAGGAAATGGCAACCCACTCCAGTACTCTTGCCTGGAAAATCCCATGGACGGAAGAGCCTGGCAGACTACAGTTCATGGGGTCGAAAATAGTCGGACACGACTGAGCGAATTCACTTTCACTTTCACAAAGGTTAGTGACTGAAGTTCAGAACTCAGTGGATCAGTCTCACAGCAGGGCAGATTAAAGAACTCCTGGAAGAAAACACCTAGATGCAGTGTAAATATGTGTGTATGCACACATGTACACAAAGGCATGTGCATATGTATGGTGTTCACAGGCTTTCCAGGTGGCTCAGATGATAAACAATCTGCCTGCACTGTGGGAGGCCCAGGTTTGATCTCTGAGTGGGGAAGATCCCCAGAGAACGGCATGGCAGCCCACTCCAGTGTTCTTGCCTGCGGCATCACATGGACAGAGGGGCCTGGCGGGCTGCAGTCCACGGATCGCAAGGACTGGGACAGGACTGAGGGACCAACACATGGTGTACACACTGATGAAAATCATTTGATGGAATTTAGCATTTATTCACCATAAAAATTCTTAGCAAACTAGAAAAGGAAACACATTTCTCAACTTCATAACGGGTGGTGGTGTGCTACTTGCTCAATCATGTGCTACTCCTTACAGTCCCACGGACTGCAGCCCGCCAGGCTCCTCTGTCCACGGGATTCTCCAGGCAAGGAGACTGGAGTGGGCTGCCATGCCTTTCTCCAGGGGATCTTTCCCACCCAGGGATCAAACCAGGGTCTCCTGAATTGCAGGCGGATTCTTCATCATCTGAGCCACCAGGGAAGCCCTTGATAATAGGTACCTACAAAAAACTACAAAAACATGTGAACACTGAGAATTTTTTCTTTTCAAGCTGCAGTAAGGGGAGGATGCCTACTATCACCACGTCTGTTCACCTCTGTTCAGTGTAGTGAGACAAGGAGAGAAGCGGCATGAACACAGAGAGGAAGAAATAAAATGTCACTGTTTGCAGTTTCTATGATTGTATACACACAACGTCCAAAGGGATCCTGGGAAAACTTTTAGAATCAATGTGAGTTTATCAAGATTTCTGCCTACATGGTCAACATACAAAAACCTATTTTATTTCCATGAAGCAGCAAAACCAGACAATAACAGTGTTTAGAAATACATCATTTAAAATAATGTGAGTAAATACCGATTGCCTAAGGATCAGTGTAACAGGAGTTGTGCAAGGGCCGTCGACACAGAAACTATGAAGTGTCATTGAAAGAACAGTGATATCATGAACATGGATTAAGTCTGAATGCACAAAGATGCCCATTATCCCCGAATTCACCCACAGTTTTAATTTAATCCAATCAAAAATTCCAACACATTTTTTTTTTTTGGTCTGGGTTGTGAGACAAGCTGAATGCAAAGCAAACGAAACAACAAAGGATCATGAATTAACTAGCCATCTTGGAGGAAGAACAGGTGGAGGATTTGCCCAGCGGTTTTGAGACTTGATGGGAAGGTCTGGAAATGAAGTGGTGTGTGGTCCTGGTCTAGGACAGAGAATAAACCACGGGGCAGAAGAAAGCTCCCCACCCACCCGCAAGGCGGAGACAGTGTGGACGGCAAGGTGGTCCTGCAGGAAAAGAGGGAAGAAAATATTTTCCGAGAAAGTAGACAGGCTTACTGACTGGACACATGGAGAGAAATGAGAATTAATTCAGGTGCCGACTGCAGCAGGAGGCAAGGCCATTAAGCCCCAGGTGGGTGATTCTCAAGAGCATCCGATGTCCTTGTGTGGGAAAGACTGTACACAGTACACAAAACCACTGTCCCCAAAGCAGGAGATTCTGAAATGGCCCCAGATTAAAATGTGGAACTTCTGCTCCTCCAAAAGTATCACTTAAGCAGTGAAAAGGGGGCTGTGGGGTAGACAAGGTCTCTCCTATGTGCAACCTACGCTGCTGGTCTCCAGAATCTAGGAAGAGCCCTGTGGATCAATCCGAAGCAGACAACTCCGGAGGAATGCGCAAGGCACGGGAGTGTTCGGGCACCAGGCCCCGGCGGGGACGCTGGGCCCATCACCG